TTAATAAGATGTCCTCGAATTACACATTTGTGCGCTTCCCACACCGTCAGGGCTGGGACTTCTGTGGATTCATTCTCTTCAAAGTACGTTGCCAGGACCGTCCGGAGTTCCGCGACTACTAGTGTGTCATTAAGGATCGATTCATTCATCCGCCACTGGCGGTCCCTCGGTCTGAATAGGGGTGATTTGAGTTTCGCCAGTATTGGAGAATGGTCGGACCTGACCATTGGCAGTATCTCCGCTGAGGTCAGCATAGGTAGGAACTCCTGGGATACAAGTATATAATCCAACCTACTGTAAGATTTATGTACCGCAGAATAGTAGGTGAAATCTCTTTCCCCGGGGTGCATCGCTCTCCAACTGTCGATGAGGCCAGATCTCCGTAGGGCCTGTCGGATAGTTTGTAGATCCTGGCGTGTGAGGGAGCTTGTGCCTCTGGAAGTGTCACATCGCGGTTCCAATGCCACGTTCAGGTCTCCCGCCACCACCAGGAATCCTTCTCGGAATCTCTCGATCTTCTGAAGTGTCTGTCGGACAAATCTGCCTTGTCGGGCGTTTGGGGCATATATGCTTGCAAAGGTATACATGCATCCGGCGATCGTGCCCTTGACAAACAAGTAGCGTCCCATATCATCGGCTGGTGTTGCTGTGCAGTCAAAGGGGATCGTATTAGCGAACAGAATTGCCACCCCAGCTTTCTTGGCCGTCTGATGGTTTGCGAAAAACCCTATTGGGTATCGTGCGTCCCGTAGTGTAGGGCTAGTCGTCCCCTTGAAGTGAGTTTCCTGCAGAAAAGCAACCGACACTCTCTCGGCCCATAGGGCACGCAGCAGGTGGGATCTCCGCTCGGGCACGTTCAGGCCCCGGGTATTACACGACCAGACGTGGAAAGGTGCAGGCGTGAACCCCGTCCCCATGGCCCTGCGTCCCTTATGGGAGGGGGGGGGTAGGAGTCAGGGAAAGGGTTAGGGGTCCCGGGTATGTCAGGCCTAGTATGGGCCTGTATGACTCAGCGCCTTGGCGTGGGAGCCGCGCTTAGCGCCCTCGGGGAGCGTCTCGCACCCTCTCCGCCAACCTTCGCGTGGCGCCTGTCTAGGGGGAACTGGTCCTGCAGAGCGCAGGTGCAGGCTATCTTCCTTTTATACACAGAAGGGGGTGATCAAACTAGCAACAAGAACTGTCCCTTATTCAAGGGTAAGAAAATGAACTTGAAATGTGTACCTACTACCTTCCGTCCCCCTGGCCTAGGGTGTCTTGGCTTTACGGGAGGCATAAGGTTCCGGGAGAGAAGGTGTGATCTTGCTTGGGGGCGTCATGTGGGCGTCAGCGGTTTACGTGGGCTATGGCCTCGTCCATCCTGGGGAGCCCCTAGGGTCTGCGGGGGCGGGTCTACATGTGGGGGGGGCAAGCGGGTCGGGGGTTTAACTTGCCTCTTGTGCACGGTCGGTGGGGGGTCGGGGCTTGCGTCCCTGCCACAGCAGCCTTACTGGGTGTCGCAGTCAGTGTGGTGAGAGGGTATGCGTCTCCTTGGTCACCCCGCAGTGGGAGGTCTAGTGTGACTAGCGTCAGGCATCGTGGTCGGGCATCTCAGTGGCAGGCGTCTCAGCTAAGTGTCTGCGTCCATTGTGGGCCCTCGGGCCCCTAGCCTGGTGCGTCATCCCTTAGAGCATCTACCAGCTGTTGTATGGGAGGGTCTATCCGGTCAGGGTAGCCGTTTAGATCTGTCGGTGTCTCCCAGCGGTTCTTACGTCTGAGGCCCTGCCACCTCCCCTCCTACATATTCCCTTGCACAGTTGACTATAGGAGATGTCCGATTAGCAGGTCCCCTGAGCGTATTCCCAGCATGTGCATATGCCTTCAGGGGGCGGGCCCTTAGGCCCCGGCGGAGCTGTCCCTGGGGCCTGTGTCCGGCCGTCTCCTACACATGGGAGGTTCCTGTGCCACTATAGCGTATCTAGGACCCTGATGAGTTAGCTTAGGTAACACCGTGTCCCTCTATAATACCCGGCGTCCCCCCTCCCAAACCTGCCATCTCACGGTCGTGAGCTTTTGGTTCCTCACCTTCCGCTCATTGCGACTGGCGATGGCTGTCCATGATAGTGCCCCACCCGTCACCCTGCTGCCAGACACTAGGTGGCCCAATAGTTCCCATAAGAATGTGGCTGCTGGCCCCCCTTTGTCATCCCCCCTCCCCAAGTGTCCACATCCCTCCCGCTGTGTCGTTGTTCCTTTTGTCCCATAGTGTATGCATGTCCCCAGGAGTGAACTGGACTCACCATGTCCCGCTTTGCTTGACCGCCTTTCAGGGATTACTCCTCTGGACCTTCTGGGCCCCCTCGCCGGCTTGGTATGGCGTCGTTGCCTAGGGCTGGCGCTATTGGGCGTATCGGTGCCAGAGGATCTCTCCGCGCTGCGGCAGCTTCGTCCAGGATCCAATTTCTGATTCTGACGGAGGGTAGGCCCAGCGTCCGCATCATGCGGGGGATATCTTCTGGCCAGCGGGCCGTAAGCCACGAGTTTCCATGCTTCACCTGGAGACTGAATGGGAAGCCCCACCTGTACGGTATCCGTTTATCGCGGAGGGTTCCAGTTACTGGCCTCAGGGCCCTCCTGGCATCTAGAGTGAGGCTGGAGAGATCTTGATAAAGTGCAACTTCAGCACCCCGGAATCTTATTGGGGACTGCACTCTCGCGGCGGCCATTATTTGATCTTTTACACCATGTGATGCGATGTGGCATATCGCGTCTCTAGGGCTGCCATCTTGCCTCATTGGGCCCAATGCTCTGTGTGCCCTTTCTATATGGAAAGTGTCAGGGGCTTGGTCCCCCAGCAGTTGTTGAAACAGAGCGCTTAGGGACACCTGAAGCTGGTCTGAGTCCGACTCCGGTAGGCCCCGGACCCTGATGTTATTCCTCCTGCTCCTATTCTCCAGGTCCTCAACTTGCCTGCGCAGCGTAAGGAGCATGTTACCCTGTCTGGTGACAGCCACCTCTGTCGCTCTGTGTTGCTCCTGGCAGCCCTGGGCAGTAGTTTCCACTTCTTCCACCCGGTTTTCAAGTGCTGCTATGTCGGAGCGCATGTCAGCTAGCTCCCCTCGCAGGGCTGCGCGGATCTCCTGGACCAAGGAGCCAGTGTCCGCTTTGGTGAGCATCCTGGCTGATATATGTGCCAGTTCTGCCCTGATCTGGGCCAGCTCACTAACCTGGGCATCTCCTGAGTGGGATTCTCCCGCGTTGTCGGAGCCCGGGGAGACGGGCGCCATCTTGCGCTCACTTTGCGGCCCTCGCACGTCGGGCGTTGTAGCGACAAAACCGTCCATCGGTCCCGTGTGTCGCCTGGGTGAGTCAGCTCCCGTTGTTTCAGCAGCTAACTGCCGCTTTCGGACCATTATCTCCTCGCTGAAAAAGGCTTATTTTCGCGTGTTAGGCGGCCAGGGGTGCGGATCTCCTTCACCTTGCGTCCTGCACCATGCTCGGTCAGGCCACGCCCCCCCTCACATACTGTTTTAAAGTATGATGCTATAGTCACCAAAACAGGTTTAGCTTAGCAGTTCGTGTATAGATCATGTCCCCTCACTGCTCAACTCACTCATTTAGGAGTTATAGTGGCACTGTCACGCCAAACTTACCTTTCTCAAATGGTTTCCTCTTCTCTTCCTCTCTCGTAGTCTGTTCTTCTTTTCTCTATATCTGATCTAGTTTTTCTTTAAAACAAAAGATAAAGTAGTAAAGTACTTTATCTTATGTGTTTATCCTACGCTTGACTTTCTTGACCAAACAATCTATTTCCTGTGTCAAGAAGAAGGGTGAGTACAGGAAATGGAGCTGATTTAAACTCCTCCTTTGGTCAAAGAAAGTCGAATGTAGGAAAAATACACAAGTAGTCCCTACTTTATTTTATGTTTTTTTTTTTTTTTTTAATTCTTTATTTTTGCAGTGCGTATAGTGGTTACAGGTATACATATGGTACCCCAACGGCATTCCATATGCTGGTGTCAAGACATTAGTTACAGTGGGGGGTAGGCAGACAATGCACTTTTTTCTTTTATATATATTACGTAATGATAACAAGCTAATAGGTGTTGCTGAATGGTATAACATGTTAGATTAAGATTTCGTTTAGCTCAACTATTTGCACATCAGATTGTAGTTATGTTGCCATGACAGTAATTCAAGACATAGAGGTCAACGAGTAGCAGTAATAATAGGGTTAAAAAAAAAAATAAAAAAAACTTGTTAAGATTAATAAACATGTTGCTTAAAGTTTTATACTGTACTGAGTATACAGGCTGCGCTTAAGAAGCTATTGCCTAACAGTTAAGAAGCTACAGCATAAATGGGTTGTATTGTAGGTACACAGTGGTAAGGTTAATTATTTACATGCTAGATCAGGATTGTTATGGTAAAGACTATGGTAGTTTTGCTATAAGGTTCTGGTACCAGATGTCATAGCGTCCTTTAATGGCCGTCAACCCATGCCGCTTGGAGGCTTTGGGGGTGAGTCTTTTTCGTTGTTAATCCCTGTGTCTTGTCTTGTCACCTCAGGGCCCAGGCTTTGAGGTTGCTGCTGAGTTGCCCGCTGCGTGCGCCGTGGTCTTGCAGTTCCCAGAGCTCGGACTGTGGTGCCGTGTCGGCCCCTCCGCCGGCCACACTCCATCATCAGGGCCCCTGTACTGTTGCCTCTGCTCTGATCATTGAAGGCTCTGCAAGTGCGGTCTCGGGCGGCTGTCAGGTGAGGGTTAGAGGTTCGGGCCCTCTGTGTCCAGGCCAAGTCTCTTTGATGGAAGGGACGGCTGGTGCTCTTGCTGTAGCGTTGCCGCCAACGGCGGTGGATTCTCAGCCTCCGTTGCCTATATCGGGGTAGTATGCCCCTGGTGGCTTTGGGCCTTGTCTGGTCTGTTTGCGCTGTGTCAGGCATTTGATGTGGGAGTTTGCCTTGAGGGGGCCCGCTCACCTCCCGCTTCTCTTTGCTGTGCTCTTGGTTCTGACGCGGTGTCTCCATGGCGCGGGCCTCTAGCTTTGCCCAGAAGTTTGTAAAGAGCCTGTCGACGTTGTGGAGCAAGCGCTCAAATGTGCTCTGGAGTGACATCGCAACTTGTTCTGTGTCAGGAGCTTGTGTGTCAGGAGTGTCCGCCATTTTAAGTTTGACGGTTGCTGCTTAATCTTGTCGCTTAATGGCTTCTTGTAGCCGGCTTGTTGGTGCTGGGTATGTCAGGAGGGGGACCGGGATGACCCCCACCGGTCCAGAGGGGGGGGGGCAGCTTGGTGCTATGTGCACTCCGCCGGGAATAGGGCTCAGAGAGCGGCCGCCTCTCCTCTGCCCACGCTTGTGTAGGCCGCAAGCCTGAACGGCAGCGTTTCAGTGCCAAAACGGTTGGATTTTGGTATCACTGGATGCACCGTCGTTCCCTTATCTGGGAAGTCGTCGGTGGCTGGTCGGTTTGGCGAGTGGCCCCGGTATTCCGTCGTTTATCGATCCCAGTCTGTGGAGCTCAGGCGATGCGTGTCTGATCAGCTCTGCATCCAGGCTCCGCCCCCTTTATTTTATGTTTTAAAGAAAACTAGATCAGAAATAAAGAAAAGAACAGATTATGAGAGTGGGAAGAGGAAGAGGAATCAATAGGAGAAAGGTAAGGTCAGCATGACAGTGCTGCTTTAAATCACTTTTGGTTCTGTTTATGTAGTCTAGCCACACCTCCCCTTGCTGTGACTGACACAGCTTGCATGAAAACAAAATGCTTTCATTTTCAATCAGATCGTAACTTACCTTAAAAATTTCTGTCTCCTTCTCTGTAAATTGAACTTTAATTAAATACAGGAGGCTCATGCAGGGTTTAGCATTTTAGCCATTAACAGGGCAGGAGATAAGAAAATCTAAATGAAACAGTATTTGCAATACAGGAAGTGTAAACATTAAATGACTCTTTACAGGAAGTGTTTAGGAAGGCTGTGTAAGTCACATGCACGGAAATGTAACTAGGACTGCATAAACAAAGTGATTTAACTCCTAAAATGCAGAGAATTGAGGAGTGAGACCGCAGGGGCACGGTCTATACATCAAAACCACTTAATCTAAAGTTGTTTTTTGTGACTATAGTGTCCCTTTAAGCCATTTGAAATGCTTTATATTATTCAGCTTTTCATTTTCAATATTATACGCATGTTAAGATCTTAAATAGAGTGTCGGTAATAAACAGTTATTATTTGTGACAGTTTCTTAACATTATTTTCTTTCTAAAATAGTATTGCTTACTAAAAATCATAAGTTCATATGGTTAACTGTTTTTTTGTTCCTCTAGGACGCTGGCTATGATAAAGCCTGATGCTGTAATGAAAATGGGTTCAATTATTGAAGCTATCTTCGATACAGGATTTATAATCACAAAAGCTAAAATGGTTCAGCTCAATCGGTAAGTATCTGCCTGTAACATGAATTAATTTATAATAACTGCTCGTGTTTATTAAGGGAAATGGAATGTCAGAGTTAATGGTCCTGAAAAAAGATCAAGGACAAAAATATTGGAGATTGATGCCAAATCAGCACAAAAAGGAAGCATAATATTTATGAGTATTGTGGGAAAAATTAGGATACTGAAAATGACTTGCTCATTTCATCATATAAATCACTATACATATTATGTCACCTACAAAAGTATATTAAGGCCAGAATTTTTGTCACACCAACTATATGTGAGAAAAAAAATGTATATTTACTTTTACACTAACATTTAGATCCTGAGTGAAATATTGCAATATAAAGGACACTGTATACTGTCAAAAGCTTTTCATTTCCCAAATATTTTAATAATATTTAATTTTTAATTTAATATATTTTACGTTTTTGTCTGTAAAGCAATCTATACACTAAAATCACTAAAATTATGTTATGATGTGTTGATATGCTAGCTATGAATCCCTTGCTTCAAATAAATGGTATACTAATATTTTTTTCAATCGAAAAGTGCTCAGTAGTGAAGGGGCTAGACTAAAATTACTTCCATACCTGTCAAGATAATCTCTAAAGCTTTAAAATCAGGCCAATTATATGACGTTTATTTGTGGTAGCTGCCGTTATTCGCAGTTTTCCTGTAAACTGCACTTATTCCAATTGTGTGTGTGTGTGTGTGTATGTCTGTCACTATTTCTCAGCTTCTAGGAAGAGTTCCCCCGATTTAGTTTTTCAAGCTTCCCCGAACCCAAAGTGTTTTTCCTCCATTCGGTGTTTGCAACCTACCGAACACCAACCACCCCCCTGGCTCGTTAACTAGAAAGTAACCACAAATTTTTAAGTGCTCTCTCTAGTTGGCCGCCATTCGTATAACCGAATGACACATGCTCTGGAAAACGGCAGCCATCTTGTCTCCCGAATGCGGGCAGCGGTACTTGGTCGCCGAGCGTCTGGAACTGTTTTGGGCATGGAACCATGTGTGCGGCTGGTCAAACCTTTACCCGGTGGCGATTCGGCTAGAACCCATGGATTTGGGCGCTCCGGTTCAGGCTGTCCTTGGATATTATACTTGTGAGGGTTCCTATCGATAGTATGTGTACTTTGGGGTGTTTTAAAAAAAATATTCTGTACTCATAATGCGGGGCCCGACAAATCCCAGATGCCAGGTCGCCCTGGCAACTAAGAATTTTGCCCTGGCGTCTAGGATTGGTTGGCCCATTCCCTCCTTCCTCCCACAGGGGAATTGCAAGCTGGAAGGGCAGCATATAGACTGCCAGCCAGTCAGTGTGTGCCTGTCTGTCAGGGTGTGTATGTCTGCCTATGAGTGTGTGCGTTTAGGTCATCAGCCCCCTCCTAACGCATGGGAATGGTGTTCTCACTCACCTTTTTTTTCCAACGCTATGCCGGTCCCGCTGCAGCTGGCAAGCCTCCATAGCTGAAATTATCAATTACCAATCAGCATCTCCTCATAGAGATGCAATAAATCAGTGCATCTCTATTGGGAATGTTCAGCGCCTCCGTGCAGAGACGCTGAATGTAGGTGCTGCTGCACACACTGAGATAGGAGACACTTTAGTGGCCGTTTGATTGACGGCCACTAGAGGTGTTACTAGGCCGCAATGTAAACACTGCCTTTTCTCTGAAAAGTCAGAGTTTACTTTGAAAAGTCTGCAGGGACAATCTATAGAAATCAGACCACTTTATTAAGCTGTAGTAGTTATGACGACTATAGTGTTCCTTTAAGAATTTTTGTCGTTGGAAAAAAAATGGCTCCTAACCTTTTTAGCTGGTTTCTAGATTGAAAGCAAATTTGTCAAGCCCTGCTCTAGTGCCTGGGAGATAATTAGTTTAAGCTAAAGCAAACTCCCTTATCTCCCAGACACAGAGACGGCTTGGCGGGCTTACCATTGTAATGAATAGAGACCCCATGTTGGCCCTATAAACAGGCCACTTGGCCCTAATAAAACAGTTCATCTTGTACCCTTCATCAAGTCTCGGCCGATGTTTGGGTATACCAGAGTTATAATCACTGCTTCGCTCTGGGACCTTAGGGACTCTTCAACGGATATACTCAGTTGGAGTATAGGGGATCCGTTACAATATATATATATATATATATCTATATCATTTAAACAGAAAAATGTTATACCTTACAGTGTAGTTTTAGTTTAGTGTGTGCATTTGGGGGGTGCGGTGTGTGTAGTGGTGTAGTGTGTGTGTGTTTGAGGGGTGCAGTGTGTGTAGTCTGTGAAGTGTCTCTTGTCCTCTCGTGATGTCAGCAATTTTTTGGAGCATTCCATGGTTATACGTCGCAACACTTCAAACTGCCTGCTCGTGGGAGGAACATACAGCCTCCTGGGTCCTCCCTTCCTCTGCTTCAGTGAAGTGCCAAGAGGATACTGCATACACACAGTTACACACTGCTAAATAAACACACACAATACTACACACAGAAATACACTGCTAGAAACACATGCTGCTATACTGGCACATGGCACACATACCACAGGTTGCAAACCCCTGGCCTAGCATTTTCCATAGTAATGCACAGAAGGCATTACTGTGATTCAAACACTTCTAAATAGTGTTTATATACCTCCTACAGCACCGGTAAGCTGTCTGTTTAACCTTGTATAAAACATATGAAAAATATATTGTATGATGTGCGGAGTGCATAAATGTCACAGAATATAGCATAAGGAAGACCTAAAATATTATGGAAGTGGGATTAGGGATAGATAAAATAAAAAAATAAAGCCCAAGGTCCAGATGGAGTTTCTGGAATATTTTATAAAACTATGAAAGTTGATCTATGTAAACACTTTGCAAAACTATTTAATTTCTTCTCAGAAATAAGCGAAATATTAGCAGAATTACTTCAAGCAAATATAATACCTATACTGAAAAGCAATAAAGATCCATCTCAGATTGAAAATTATCGTCTCATCTCACTGATCAATGGTGATATAAAAATATATTCAGCTATTATAACTGACAGACTAAAACCTATAATCCCAACCCTAATCCATACTGAGAAAACAGGCTTCGTAGCTGTTTGATATCCTTCTGATAATATCCGTAGAATAGCAGATCTGATTGACCTATCCAATAGAATGATTGAACAGACTATTTTATTATAACTCTATGCGAATAAAGCTTTCGATCGAGTTAGTTGGAACTTTATGTTCCAAACATTAATCAAGAGGCGTTTCAAAGGCTGGATCTACAGGCAATGTTTGCTCTTTAAACCAATCCCTCAGCTAGGATATTAGTTTCGGGTATTACTTCTCCTTGGTTTAAGGTTCGAAATGGGACTAGGCAGGACTGCCCCCTCTCTCCTATGCTATACATTCTTACTCTGGAGCCTCTTTCACAATATATCAGAATTAATAAAAATATTAAAGGAATCCAATTCGGCTACAAAGAGGAAAAATTAAGTCTGCCGACTATGTCATAATGACATTAACAGATCCCCACAACTCGATATATTCTCTACTTAAAGAACTAGTAATATTCGGAAATATGTCAAACTATAAGCTCAATACATCTAAATCAACTATTATGAGCTTAAATTTAGACATGGAAATCAAAGATAGACTAAAGGAAGAATATACCTTTAAGTGGGCCACAGATAGCATTGAGTATCCAAGCATAATTATCACCTCTCACCCAAAAAAATTTAATAAAGGCCAATTGGGAGGCACTGTAAAAATCAGACCTTTAGAATGCTTAATGACTGGAAGCCTCTGGGACTTTCATGGCTGGGACGAATTAACATTATAAAATCTTATGTGCTTCCAATCTGGAATTACCTATTTGTGGCTCTCTCCACATGTTTACATAGACACATAGAGATTTCTTTCTGACTATATATCGAATGGTTAAACGCCAAGAATAAAGAGAAAGATAGAGAAAAGTATAGATAAAGGAGGGTTAGCAACCCCTAATGTTAAAAAGTATCACAACGCCACTATTCTTAAGCATATTTTTAAATGGTTCAAAATAGAATCCAAAGATTCTCGGGAGGATATTGAAAAATCCATGTTGGAAATATCGGATCTCTCCCTTCTTCTGTGGATTGATCCTAAAAGATTGGGTATAGATAGGATTGCAGTAAATAATGGTGGTAAAAATAGCCTTAGCTATCAAATTCTAAAATCCTGGTCTAAATTCAAAATAGAACACAATTTGTCATGGGAGAATATTATTTGATGTAAGGGCAATATTAGCCTCCTAGAATATAATATGGAGGAAATGAATCTATGTACTTGGAAAGAGAACAGTATAAACTTTTTTAGTGATATTTTAAATGGTTCCTACATAAAAATCTCTCCAAGAATTAGTATTCAAATTCCATATTCCCTCAAAAGAAGTCTTCCACTATCTTAGAATTAAAAGCTATTTGCGAAAACATATATGTAAGAAAGACAACTAAATTAAGGGATTGGATTTGTTTATTAAAATATGGAGACGATGTTAGTACCCTGATGAAAAGTACCCTTTTTGATTACGAAGATCCATCTATAATAGATCCAGTTACAAATATAATAAATAAATGGGAAAGTGATCTTGAAATAAAAATCAGAATTTTTGATTGGTATACGATTATACCAGAAGCTAAGAAATTCATACACTGCCTCAATCTTATAGAGTTACAATATAAGATATTAACCAGATGGTATCTAGTTCCAAAGAAAATCAATAAGATGTTCCCTACATATTCCATTCTCTGCTAGCACTGTAACCATGCAGGATGTTCTTATACTCATATCCGGTGGAACTGTCAGAAATTAACATATAACATTTTAGAGAATGTCTCGGGTATTCCCGTGTTTTTCTCTCCCCAAACAGCTTTATTACATCTTGAATGGCCCAAATTGTCTCTGAAAGATAGATATGTAACAACTCATATTTTGATAGCAGCGAAAAAAAGCATTGTAAAACTTTGGAAGCAGAGTGATTCTCCAACGTGGGGAATATTAAAAAAATCAAATCTCCTTTCAATTAAAGATGGAGACGGAGTCCTCGCCTATAACTAAATATGGATGGAATATATGGAACAATTATATCCAAGAAGTATAAGTATAACCCTTCAGGCTTTATATTTAAGTCTAGAAATAAAATCTTGGGAATTCCCTGAATTCATCCATATTTTGTCTCCTCTCATGTTTTTGGACCCCCCCCCCTTTCTCCACTCTAAGATCTCGCTTTAAAAACTTCAAAATATAAACTATGGTTTATATGTATGGCATTTATTATGACGTTTTGTATTTCTTATTTGTAATATTGAAGAAAAAAAAAAGTTTCTTATACTTTTGACTAGAGACCATCATTTTTTGTTTTGTTTTGAATGCTTGTTAATGTCTCAGAAATGATTGATTTTTAAAGTAGATATACCAATATTTGACTTGGACAATAATAGCACTGAGACTGTCAGGGGGATATGGATGTCAAATATTGTATTCTTGATGATATGTAATTGTTCATTTTTGTATATCTAAAAAGCTAATAAATAATAAAAAATTTTGGACTCTAATTTTGAAAGCATATATTGAATCATGCTATTTTGGGGTCAAGAAGGAATTTTTTCCTAGTTTATTGCAAAATTGGAAGTGCTTCAGACTGGGTTTTTTGCCTTCTTTTGGATCAACAGCAAAAACATATGTGAGGAAGGCTGAACTTGATGGACGCAAGTCTCTTTTCAGCTATGTAACTATGTAAATATATTGAAACCATTGAATCAAATGGAAAATGACTTCAGATACTATAAATCCATAAACTACTAATTTTATGTAAAAACAAACATAGGATATATATGGTATCTGTAGCCCTAGAATAATTTCGCCTGATTAGCTTTCTCAATTGGTAAATTACATTCTGCGTCCCCCATTCTTTTAACTGCATTTATTCAGGTAAAATTGTACATCATTTTAATTTGTGATTAGTGCCTTGATTTTTTTTTTAATTAGGATCTCATTTGTTCTCTTACACTTCTGTTATTTTATTTCCATATTCATGTTTTTGATATAATTATTATTTCATGCTTTTTTGCTGTTCCTAAAAAATAGGATGAGCACTGGTCTAACAAATACTTTCTAGATGTATTTTCTTGGAAATGTTTAGTATGGATTCTGTTCTAAATAATATACCCATCCAATTTTATTGCAAAAATTAAATAATGTATTTGCCAACAGTTCTATGTAGCCAGTTGATGTAACCAGTTGATGTAGCTGTCTCAATTTTGGACCTAGTCCACCATCCTGAGTTCTTTTTTTTTTTATGTTTTGCGTGTGGCTATGCCAGTTAAATGTGTAGCTTTATATATGTTTAAAGAAACACTCCAAATACCTAAAGCATTTTATGTTGCTTTATGTGTAAAAAGTGTGTCCTCTTTCTTTCATTTTGCAAACAGTCCAGATTTCAATAGAAATTGTCACTTTTATAATTAACCTTTCCAACATTTAAAATGGACAAAGAACACACTAATTTTAGGGGTGTGAGTGGGGGTGTAGCAAGAGGTGGGGCTGCCTTAGCAATAATACCGGTAATTTATGCAACCAAAATGTAATTTAGAACTAGAATAGTGTATCTTATTTATACAGGCTGATTTCTAAACACATTTATTGTAGTTTAACCCCTTAAAGGGACACTATAGTCACCAGAACAACTAAAGCTTATTGTTCTGGTGAGTAGAATCATTACCTTCAGGCTTTTTGCTGTAAACACTGTCTTTTCAGGGAAAATGCAGTGTTTACATTACAACCTAGTGATAACTTCACTGGCCACTCCTCAGATAGCTGTAAGACATCCTTCCTGGGTCCTGGCTGCGTAAAATGCATCCAAACATTCAGGATCTCCTCCCACTGAACTTTCCTCATAGAGATTCATTGATTCAATTCATCTCTATGATGAGATGCTGATTTGCCAGGGCTGTGTTTGAATTGTACTGGCTCTGCCTTCTTGTCAGTCTCAGCCAATCCTATGGGGAAGCATTGTGATTGGATCAGGCCACCACTTCTGATGATGTCAGAGGAAGTTCACAGGCAGAGGCAGCAGCTTTAGTAATACAAGTAAGATTGTACTATCTTTAGGGGGGCAAAGGGGACCAAGGGGCTAGATAGTGGGTTTTAACACTATATATGATCAGGAATACATGTTTATGTTCCTGACCCCATAGTGCTCATTTAAGGAATGAGCTAAATGTACACGTTTTGATCAAAATAAATGTAAGCAAAATTTGGAATTTGACTATACATCTGTTCAACCATAATTCACCTTTTTCATATTAAGTGCACACACATTTATTATATATCATTTTATTCAGGAGAAATAGGGCTTTCATTTAACATCAATATTAGCTATGAAACATAATTTAATATGAATAAAATATAAAAAAAAAGTAAGATTAAGACACTTTATTTTTTTTTGTTCTGCATGACATTTTAACTTTCAATGTCATAATACTGTTTGCTTTTACTGCAATAAAATACACATATTTGTATTCAGCGATGTCTCACATGTAAAACAGTACCCCCTATGTACAGGTTTTATGGTGTTTTGGGATGTTACAGGGTCAAATACAGCATGTTAAATTTGTATTAGTTTTTTCACATTGAAATTTGCCAGATTGGTTACGTTGCCTTTGAGACCGTATAGTAGCCCAGGAATGAGAATTACCCACATGATGGCATACCATTTGCAATAGTAGACACCCCAAGGTATTGCAAATGGGGTATGTCCAGTCTTTTTTAGTAGCCACTTAGTCACAAACACTGGCCAAAGTTTGCGTTAATATTTGTTTGTGTGTGAAAAATGCAAAAAACTAATTTGAATGCCAATTTTGGCCAGTGTTTGTGACTAAGTGGCTACTAAAAAAAGGCTGGACATACGCCATTTACAATACCTAGGGTTGTCTACTATTGCAAATGGTATGCCATCATGGGGGTAATTCTCATTCCTGGGCTACTATACGGTCTCAAAGGCAACGTAACCAATCTAGCGAATTTCAATGTGAAAAAACTGAAACACAAGCCATAAAACGTATCACAAAAATTATATCGTCCGTGTAAGTGCCGTTTTTGTGTGAAAAATGCAAAAAAGTCACTTTCACTAATGATATCATCGTTGTAATACATTTTACAGTTTTGAAACACTAATATTTGTGTTCAGCAGAGACTCCCAAGTAAAACAGTACCCCCAGGTACAGGTTTTATGGTGTCTTGGAAAGTTACAGGGTTAAATATAGTGCTAACAAATTAAATTCTCTAAACTTTCTGCCTGGGTTATCAGGCAGGTCCTGCAAATGGTAATTAATAAAATGACTTAATTATGTAAAAATATTACATAAATATATATGTAGAATTAAAATTTATATATATGTATATAATTAAATTTTTTAAAATTGTTATATATATATATATATATATATATATATATATATATATAACAATTTTATATATATAGGTATATATAGTATATATACAAGTGTAGTGGCACTCACCCTTTCAATAGATGTGTAGAAAAATGCCTCAGTGCAATCCCACGCTGGATATGTACAACAATTGAAGAAGAGATGCACTCACAGGTCTTGTAAAAAATCACTATTATTTATTATCAAAACAACATAAATTTGATTGACGTTTCTTGAGAAAGACTTGAAGAGGTCGAAACATCGATCTTAAGAAAGACCTGAAGAGGTCGAAACGTCGATCGAATTTATGTTGTTTTGATAATAAATAATAGTGATTTTTTACAAGACCTGTGAGTGCATCTCTTCTTCAATTGTTGTAGGTATATATAGTGATATATACATATATATTTATGCATATATATATATATATATTATTTTGTTCTAAGTGTATTTTGATATCAATCTATATATATATATATATATATATATAGTGTAAATATATAGTGTGTGTATATATATAGGGATTTTTAAAAAAATATATATTTTTTTAAGTATTTGTGAAGTGCAGTGTCCTTTTAATATCGCTTAGGTACTCTAAGTGAATTCTCAGTATTGGCAATTTCAGAACACTTTCAACCATATGTAAGTGCATTGGGAGTGCTCTGTGAAATGGTATCTCTGCGTAGCGGGGCAGTTTGTTGTTATGGCATGCATGCACCTATAGAAGCCTTGCTTTGTTTACATCAGGCCATATTACCAGCAAAGCTTATTGCTTCACTGGAACACCATACTCGTCCCTACTCTGATCCCAGCCTCGTACTTGACAAAGGTGTTGTTTATGAAGTAATATATGCATTTCTTTTTTTTTAAATTAGATATTTTATTCTCTTGTCACACTTTTGCGTGTAACTGTAAATTAGAAATTGTATTTGTTACATCAATTCTAATTCTTTATCTTATTTTGCACGCTATTAAAAACGATGATGTATTTTTTCAAAATGTTGTATTGATTATTTTGCTTTTACTCCAATACAACCCATAGTTTAACCCCTTAAGGACCGGATTGTTTTTGCGATGTTGTACATTTGCAACCAGGCCTTTGTTTACACTTTTGTGGTGTTTGTGTTTAGCTGTAATTTTCCGCTCTCTCATTTACTGTTCTCATACAAATTATATAATTTTTTTTTCACGACAAAAAGGGCTTTTTTTACATACCATTATTTATATAATCTCATGTAATTTAATTTTTAAAAAAATGATGAAAAATTGAAAAAAATACATGTTTTTTTACTTTTACTTGAAAAATATTTTATTCATCTACAAAAGCTAATGGAAAAAACTGCTAAATAAATTCAAAATTTTGTCCTGAGTTTAAAAATACCCAGTGTTTACATGCTTTTTTGCAAGTTATAGGGCTATAGGTACAAGTAGGATATTGCGGTTTCAAAACATACATTTTTTAAACTTATCAGTAGTGACACTGTAACACTATTATCTTTCATAAATCTCTGAATAACACCCCAAATGTACATTTTTTTTTTTAAAGTAGACAACTCAGAGTATTCAGTGTGGGGTATGTCCAGTCTTTTTTAGTAGCCACTTAGTCACTGGCCAAAGTTAGCATTCATATTTGTTTGTGTGTGAAAAAAGTAAAAAACTAAATTGAACGCTAATTTTGGCCAGTGTTTGTGACTAAGTGGCTAAAAAGACTTAATATGCCCCATTTGCAATACTTTGGGTTGTCTTGTTTTGTAAATGGTATGCCATCATGTGGGTAATTCTCATTCCTGGGCTACCATGCGCTCTCAAAGGCAACGTAACCAACCTGGCAATTTTCAATGTAAAAATATTTGACCCATATATTTGACCCTGTAACTTTCAAAAACACTGTAAAACCTGTACATGGGGGGTACTGTTATACTCGGGAGACTTTGCTGAACACAAATATTAGTGTTTCAAAATAGGAAAGCGTATCACAACAATTATATCATCAGTATAAGTGCTGTTTGTGTGTGAAAAATGCAAAAAAAAGTCACTTTCACTGACAATATCATCGCTGTGATATGTTTTACTGTTTTGAATCACTAATTTTTGTATTCAGTGAAGTCTCACGAGTAAAACAGTACACTACAGGTTTTAGGGTGTCATAGAAAGTTACAGGGTAAAATACAGTGCTAGCAAATTACATTCTCTGGACTTTCGGCCTGGGTTGTCAGGCAGGTCCCTCAAATTGCAATCAATAAAATTACTTAATTATGTAAAAATATTACATAAATACGCACGTAGAATTTAAATATATCTGCATACTTATATATTTGAAGTCTACATGTATATTTATATAATTATTTATGTAATTTTGTATATATGGACATATGTATATTTCATATTTTTATTTATTTATATATACATAGATATATATACAATTTCATTCTAAGTGTATTTTGATATAAATATATATTAATATCAAAATACAGTTAGAATAAAATTTCATATATATATATTTAAATTTTTGTATTTTTTAATTTAATTTACTTATTATTTGTGTTTTATAATATATATACACACATTATATATAGTTATTATATATATATATATATATATATATATATACGTGTGGACTTTAATTATAAGTGTATTTTTATATTAATATATGTATATATTAATATAAAAATACTTAGTATGACATATATATATATGATATATATATAGACATATTATATAGATATAATATATATATATATATATATATATATATATATACACACACACATATATATAATTCTATTTATTTATTAAAAATTTTTTTTACACTAGCAGGGAGACTGACAGTCAGCCCAGACAGTCCCCCTGCAGGCAGACACTAGGACACCTATTGTGACCATGTGACCGCTCTATTGAGCGATCACATGGCTCCAGGGGTCCTACTCTGCCATGGGGAGACTGTCTGGGCTGCAGGCAGTCTCTCCACACCAGGAGCACTGCCGATCGCCGCTGGGGGAACGACGGCGATCAGGTAAGTACATCTGACCGTTGTGACGGTTCAGGACCGTCATCGTTCGGCAGTGCAAAATTGCAGATGACGGTCCTGAACCGTCACCGGTCCATAACGGGTTAAAGGGACACTATAGTCACCCAGACCAGTTCAGCTCAATGAAGTGGTCTGGGTGCCAGGTCCCCCAGGTTTTAACCCTGCAGATGCAAGCATTGCAGTTTCAGAGAAAAATGCTTTCCTATTGACAGTTAGAATGCACGCGCAGCTCTTGCCTCGCATGTGCATTCGAATCTGTTGACGTCGGCGGGGGAGGAGAGGTCACCAGCGTTGAGGAAGCCCGGCGCTGGATTAAGGTAAGAAACTGAAGCGATTTTAACCCCTTCAGCGCCACGGGAGGGGGACCCTGAGGATGGGGGCACCCTTAGGGCACTATAGTGTCAGGAAAACCACTTTGTTTTCCTGACACTGTAGTGATCCTTAAAAAACAAAAACAACAACATGAGTCTTTAAATTTGAAAATGTAAAAACAAAGAAAACCCAAGCACACATGGCCTTCCACGTAAATGTCAATGTCTTTCTTCTAGTTAAATCAACATTGAAATGGCCTCAGACTTGGTTACTTTTTATGTCATTTAGTTTTATTAGCAAATACTCATTCCTTTGTGATCTCTATCTCCTACCCATTATTTCCCTGCTGCCTGAAACTGGTATCAAACCGGTGTCTGCTCAAACAAGCTGAGGACAACCTAGTAAACTTTATAAATGCTTTATAGGAACAAATATTGCTTTCTTCAAATCAAAAAACATTCTATCTTGATACAACAGGAGTGCTTTCTTTCCCCCCTCATTTATGCAATTAGTTTCCTTTTATTCTTTTTATATTTTATTATTAGATAATCTTGTTAAGTACATTTATTAAGTATATTTGAACAAAATTTGGAAACTCTATTCTATAAAAAAATCATATAGTTCTAGAAATGGAAAGGTGAAAGCGATGCATTTCTGGAGCAAGGTGCTAATTATTGAGAAACATGTATTTCTACTAAAAAGTGAGTTGCCTTGAATTGACCTTCAACTTGCAAAATGTGGATCTAAATAATATATCTGGAAAGCATTTATTTTGCATAAGTTGTAAGTAGTTTTTCAAATCATTCTAGATATTTCATGTTATATTAATCAGATTTTTATCATCTTCTTTATTACAGAATGGAAGCAATGGACTTTTACAGTGAGCACCAATCTAAATCATTTTTTACGTAAGTAGTGCTGTTAAACAGGAAACCATCACTTCTCTGGGAAAAAAAACACCATTACAGGGATTCTCTAGTGCCAGGAAAACAAATCCGTTTTCCTGGCACTTGAGAATCCTAGAGTGCCCCCTCCCTCCCGCCCATCCCACCTTAAAACCCCTTAAGACACTTACCTGAATCCAGCGCCGATATCCCTCGACGTTGGGTCAGGCTCCGCCCACACTCCTCCCCCGGAGACCTAATGCGCATGTGCAGCAATGGCCACGCGCATTAGACTTCCCCATAGGAAAGCATTATTTAGTGCTTTCGTATGGGGATTCCGGTGACGCTGGAAGTCCTTATGCATAGCGTGAGGACGTTCAGCGTCATTTAAAGTCATTTAAAAGTCATCTAAGAACCCAGAAGTCACTCTTGTGGCTTTCTGGTAAGTGGCCACTAGAGGAGGACTTAACCCTGCAAGGTAATTATTGCAGTTTATAAAAACAGCAATAAATACACTTGCAGGGTTAAGGGTGGTGGAAGTTGGCACCCAGACCACGTCAATGAGTTAAATAAAACATTGAAAATCACCTGTAACTTGTGTTAACATTCTTTGTGTGATGCTCTGTTTTCACGTGACATCAGAATCCAGTCCATTCCAGGCACAAGCAGAGCACATGTGGCAATCGATGAGAACTAAAAACATTGTTTAATTTCTTCTTTGTTCTGTGGGTTTTCTCTATGATACCCTTCTGGTGCAAATGACTTGTAACGGTTATTGACAGGCAACTAGATGGAGGCACGGAGGACCCAGTTGTGGGATAAAGAATGGTGGATTGCTACATTTAATTTTTTCTCACCAATACATATTTGTTAAACAATGGGGATAAGTAAACATAGAATTAGAAGTCCTGAGAAATAACCTGTGGAGTATTTCTAGTGACTCCAATTACACCATATATGTGCAAAAAATCATTTTATAGAGCATTGTGCAAAGAAATTTTGCAGACTTGTTTCAGTGAAACCTGTTTATTGTGTTTAACCATTCCCCGACAGGCTCCGGCTGCTGTGTGGAGCTGTCATTAACTTCCTTAACAACGGGCTACATACCACATACATTGATGATTTTAAGATCCCTAACATTACTGCAAGATTGTTATTTCTGGATGCCTCACTAGTGTATACTAGCTTTATGTGGTTTCTGCAAGGCAGGTGACCATGGGGACAGCTTTTCTGGTGACTGCCAACTTATTATCCACAGGCAGCACTGGGACCTCTATTACAAGTTGTACACACTGTGATCTCGGTGACTGACCAGATTATCAATATAAAAATACCCTTATACATATCCTTTAAACTGGTATATATTAAGAATGAGTAGACGTAAAGAGAAAGTATTAAATTACAGTACAACAAGCACAAGTGTTAAAGGAGCACTCCAGTGGAAATTTTTAAACAATTTTGTAGCTATACTCCCAAGGAAAACATGCATGCAATTTTATTTTTTCATTTGGGATTAATTTAAAAACAGCTTGCAATAGCTGCAGATCTGTTGTCTGCAGCCTTTGCAAGACCTCCCTCCCCCTCCCCATTGTGATGAGACAGAATAGCTGCTTTTAACTTTTTAAAAACAGATTTTATTTATAACAGTGAGGCACTTTACGTAAATATTGTTTTCAATTTATTTGGCTGCGAGCTGCATAGGCAAGATATTATCATAAACCAGCATCAGTATTTAAAGCATTGTTAACACAACATGGCAACATCTTTTCAAGTTTCATTTTAATGTGCCTCTAATTATATTTATACTCTAATCAAAGGGCTAGCAAATGTAAAGACATTAGAATTATTCAAAATTAAATATACTTCCCATTACACTTCTCAACTTGGCACTGTGGAGGAAATTTTAATGGAGCAGAGTTGATTTATTGGCAGCAAAACAACATTAACGCTATTGTGTAAAGTGTAAGTGTAAATGCTTCCTTTACACCCTGACCCTATCTAGCTTCTATTGCCAGACTTCTAATTAGTGAGGCAGTCTAGCAATAGCACCCCAGTTTCTGCTCTGTTGATCCCATTGCTGTGGCACCATGTTATATCCACTAGATTCCCCTTTGCCACATGGCAGCATTGGAGGTGTGCAGAAACACCAGTATATGCCAATCTTTCCTGTCTCATGAACCCCGATGCCTGCATAATTTCTTTAAAGGGACTCTCCAGTGCCAGGAAAACATATTCGTTTTCCTGGCACTGCAGGACCCTACAGAGCCCCTCGCCCTCCCACCCCCCATCCCAAGTTGCTGAAGGGGTAAAAACTGACTTACCGGAGTCCATCGCCAATGTCCAGCTCCGCCTACTCTCCTCCCCCTGCCGACGTCAGCCGGCGGGGGTGACCTAATGCGCATGCCCGGTAATGGCAGCGCACGCGCATTAGACGTCCCCATAGGAAAGCATTATTCAATGGTTTCCTATGGGGATTTTGGCGACGCTGGAGGTCCTCACATTGTGTGAGGACGTCCAGTGTTGTTTAAAACACTTATCGTGTTCTAAAAACACAGAAGTCCCTATAGTGGCTGTCTGACAGACAGCCACTAGAGGAGGACTTAACCCTTATAAAAACTGCAATAATTACACTTGCAGGGTTAAGGGTGGTGGGAGTTGGCACCCAGACCACTCCAATGGGCAGAAGTAGTCTGGGTGCCTAGAGTGTCCCTTTAAGCCATGCTGGTCTGCATTAATCCAGCTGTGTGGGTTGGGCTTGGCATCATTACTGATGCAGGCCAATAGTAACAAGTCTAGGGCTATTTAACACAACACTGACCACTCCTTTTTGCCTTGTCGTGGTCTGTATTATCCGAGAGTGTATTATTGTGTTTGTGTGTGTCTTCTGGTTATTGATTTGGCTCTGTTTATCGCCTTTTCTAATCTCGGAAATCCTAGACCATGGCTCTTTTTCTCGTTTATCGGTATCTTTGTACTCCGTGACCTTTGTCAGTCCCTGTTTATGCTTTTGTCTGTTTCTCAGACTGTGTTCTATACTTTCACATGTTAAAGGGATACTATAGTGCTAGGAATACAAATCTGTATTCCTAGCACTATACTTCCTTCTGGTCCCCACTCCTTCGTGCTGTCCTCATGCAAAGTGTGAGGACGTCCAGGGTCAGTTAGGCGACAAAAAATCCCTTCTGACTGACAGCCATTAGAGGCAGTCATAGTCCTGCAATTTAATTTTTGCAGTTTCTCAGAAACAGCAATGTTAACATTACAGGGTTAAGTGGACAGAGTCACAGCTGACGTGGTGTGTGTTCCTTTTAAACATGGCCACTCTAAGGATCAGTAATATGATTTCGCTTTTTAGTATAGGACATCCTATACCTTAGGTTCGCATGTTGGTGTATGAAATAGTAAGGAGGGTGCACAGAATTATACAATTTATACAAATAAGTGTTCAACCATGTAAGCTATGTCACTCCCTAATTGTAAAACCACTATCCAAATTATACATTGAAGCACATAATAATTAATCTTTATTCAAAATTACATTACAAAAAAAACACGTAATGTCATTCTAATATAACACATACCACTTGTCACTGTCCGTACAATTAATGCAGTTCAGACAAACACTCATGCAAAGAAATGGTTAATAAATATTGTGTTAGTGTGGCAAATTAGGGAAATCCATCCTCAATATACTCCAGGGTCACAAGTGAGATAGTTCAGCAGTATGTGACTAATGTCTGTGAGCACTATAAAGACAATCACAGAAGCAGAGTTTAGATTGTAGAATTTAAGATAAAAATCTGGGGTTGGGTTAGAATTAGAATCAGAGTAGCACTTAGAGATGCATATTTGTATTTGTTTTCACAGTTTATGACACTATATTGGAGACATTTAAGTGCTGCTAAACAAGCAAACAAAAAATATTTGTTTTTTATTATACAGTAATTTCTTTTAATATTGGGGTTTTTTTGTTTGTTTTTTGCTGGGACATATGCCATGATGCCTGTCTTGTTATGAGACAAATACGAAACAGAGTTCGAGTTACCGGTAGATTGATTGACGAGTGGCGTTTCTTATAAAGTCTGCAAAAGAGAACACTTACTGGAAAGTGACAACACTTGGAAGAGGTTAACATATAAGGAACAAACAGCTGGACTTGGGCGCAAGTCAGAGCCAGGCAGCTGTGCAGTGTAACTGACACAGGCAATGTTGGTGACACATAAGGCCATCTAGGGATTCCATCATCATACATCATCCTCCACAGTGCTAGCTCCTGCCAAAACTCTGACAAGACTCCTTCTCATTAATTAAATATAGAAACACAGAATAAGATATACTGAGCTGTAAAAAATCAAATCTAACAAGTGAAATGATTCTCTAGGTTTCTTATGGTCAAAAGACTGATCACTATATTCTAGCCTGTATCTAATTGTTAACCTCTGCTGCATTTGTGTGTCACCCCCTTCCCCCCCAATGCAAATCTCCATTCACATGTTTTATTATTGATGATATACACTACCACATTCAGAACTGTAACTTGTAGAAATATGAACTTGGTAATGGCAGAACCTAGTTAAACTTGGTGTTAGATATCATTTCTGATATTGCTTCCATTACAACTGGAGGGGAAAGCCCGAAAGAGTTGTAAGGCAGAAGGGGGCCAGTCATCTTGGATCAGAAAAGTATAAATAAGCAAATCTGAAGAGCCTTCCTGAGTGTCCAGAGGCAACAAATGTTTTAGCCCATTCACTCTTCAAGTGTACACTCTTATACTGATCCAGCCACACTGGGGTGGAATCAAAAGACAGAGGTTGGAGATGGTACTCCAAAAAAAGGATGGGAAGAGGAGATAGTATAATCAAAGAGCGCTGAAGAGAAAATTGCAGAGGGAGCTAAGAATGTATAAAGGGAACATGTAAGACAGATGGGGTGTAAAGTGAGGCTGCAAGAGATGAAAGGGAGTCAGGAGAGTTGGATGAGAGCAGAGATAAAATTAGAGAAGTTTAGTGACGTTTACTGGGGAGTGTAAAAAAAGAGGCTGTTTAAAGTTAAGTTGGAGGAGAGGAAAGTGTACAAAAAGTTATCAGTGAGTTATCATGTTGTCATATTGTAACAATGTTATTTTGGTTTAAGTTTTAAGGTTTACCATGAGTGTTTGCTGTGTGTAGGTAAATGGAGAATGTGTGGTTTGTACTAGTAAGCTGTAGTTGTAGATTTTTCAGAATGAGACATGAACAATTTTTACAGGTTATTTTCTGGATACAGGTATCGTGGATGGAATGTGTAATTTACTCTGAATGTATAGAATTATATCAAAGTGTATCAGATTATTTACAAATCTCCCAGCATTCCAAAGGGACAAAAATAAACTTTTTTATTTTAGGGGTGTGAGTGTGGGTATTGCCAGAGGCGGAGCTGTTTTGAGAAATTTTAGGTGACTTAGTAATAATAATTTATGCAACTAAAATGTAATTTACATGATCAATATATCTTATTTACACAAACTGATTTCTAAAGCCATTTATTGTAGTTTAAAGACACATTGCTGTGAGTATTATTGCTGTGCTGGGGAGCTGTTACACATTCAGACACACCAGCAATATGGAGCTCCTAGTAAGTAGGGACAGAGAGAATTGAGCCCAAAATAGACACTGTCCCTCTTAAATAGGGACACTCGGGAGTATGTATTGAGGACCATTACCAGCTGTTCTGTGCAGACGTTGACCACTTTATTCAAGTTGCGAGGAAAACATTAGTAGTTTCTTAAGTGCACAGCAATATTACCACAAAAGTTTAAGTGGAATATTTACAAATAGCTACTGTGAAATATTTTGTTTTAAGTGTGTGCACCGTCTGCAGCAAATTTGTGGGTTTTTAAAAAATATTATCTGGGCACATGCACCACATACTATGGCAGTGTTGCATGTTACAGTAATATTTTGATTGCCATTAGGATTACATGAATGAATTAATGCATGGTTGTGTGGAGTATTATATACTGTAGAGTGGAATTATTTCTGTGGCACAAATCCTGATCAGGAAATCGAATAAACATTTGCACTTATCAACGGTTAATAAAATTTGCATCATAAGGCAAATGACTAGCATTCCGAAAGGACGGATGTATATACCCATAACTTTTTCAACCCTGGTTAATAAATGGCAGCATTCAGCAATTCAATGGCAGCATTCTGGTACAATAGGATATAAAATAGCAAAAAGAAGTGTGTAAGGGACTCTAACATGTAGCTGTGTACAATTGTTTGTCATTCTGTGTGCGTGTTTTTTGTCTTTCTTTGTACAGTGTGTCTCAAATTAAGCTGTGAACTAGGTACAAGCAGTCTAAAAAGATATGAAATTGTGTGTGCATGTGTAATGAGGTCCAATATATTATACTTGATGAATATTTGTTGACAGGTAACAAAGTTTACCAAGAGAACAATGATTTAACAGATTATATAAACTGATCTCCATTAGATAAATATATCTAACGTTGATATTTAACCCCTTAAAGGACCACTATAGTGCCAGGAAAACATACTCCTTTTCCTGGCACTATAGTGCCCTGAGGGTGCCCCCACCCTCAGGGTCCCCCTCCCGCCCGACTCTGGATGGGGGAAAGGGGTAAAAACTTACCTTTTTCCAGCGCTGGGCGGAGAGCTCTCCTCCTCCTCCTCTCCACCCCGTCGGCTGAATGCGCACTCGCGGCAAGAGCTGCGCGCACATTCAGCCGGTCACATAGGAAAGCATTCATAATGCTTTCCTATGGACGCTGTGCTCTCACTGTGAAAATCACAGTGAGAAGACGTTAGCGTTTCTAGTGGCTGTCAATGAGACAGCCACTAGAGGTTTTGGGAGAAGTCTTAACCCATTAATAAACATAGCAGTTTCTCTGAAACTGCTATGTTTATAAAAAATGGGTTAACCCTAGAAGGACCTGGCACCCAGACCACTTCATTAAGCTGAAGTGGTCTGGGTGCCTAGAGTGGTCCTTTAAGGACACATGACATGTGTGACATGTCATGATTCCCTTTTATTCCAGAAGCTTGGTCCTTAAGGGGTTAAAGTAAATTTAGACACTAATTATAAACTTACTCTGAAGGACAAACATGTATCTACATAAACTCATTAATTTAGTATCTCATGCTGCTGATGTATTTATAGTTTAATCATATGCTCTAGCGGTTTATTCACTAAGCAGCATTTTGTACTGAGTTGAAAACCAGATTACAAAATTGAGGCTAAACAGATCAAAGGTTTTAATCCATTATCTCTAATTGTCAGGTTTGTTAATTTACTGTTTTGTAAAGGAACTGTATCATATCCACAGTTTTTGATCAATACTTTGTGTAGGCCAAAAACTCTACATTGCATTATTATACTTTTTCATTGTTGTTTTGATTTTATTGAAGAAACCATATTACAGAACTTTTGGTTCTGTATACAATGCAAAAAACAAAACAAAAATATAGGCTGTAATATAATTAGAGCCAATTACAGCCATTAAAGGCTTATCTTGAAATGCAAACCTTTAAGAAGAGTGACACTTGCCTGTCACAGAGCTCTGACTAAGGTTGTGTAGCATGGGAAAGCTCTTATAAGGGTTATTCCTGCCATGCAAGCTTATTCTGTGCGAACCCCTCCATAGGCTCACATGGATTAATTCTAATGCATAGTTTTTTTGCAATCCTGTTCTTAATGGATTTTTTGGGGACTGAAAAAAGAGTATTTAAGAAGAATACATCTGATGATAATTACAATTTTGCTTGTTTCATGGTCTTTGTCTGTAATCCAAATTATATATACATACTATATATATATATAGTGCATTTTGCCTTTACTTACATATAAAAAAAGGTATGAAACAAAATGCGTGCTTTGCATCCCACATATAGCCACAATGTTTGGAACAGAGCTGAATAATTGTAAGGGCTGGAGTCGGTAACAGCCATTCTGTGCTTTTTGTGGCACACAACAAACTCATTTAGAATGGCAAATTGTATAAACTGTATAGTTTGTTACTTGTCATTCACCTTCAGTGCCCTAAAGCAGTTCCCTTGTTCCATTCTGTGTCATAGCAGTAAATAATTAATGAAAGAGCCTCAAATGTAGTCAGTAACTGATAGCTTATGTAGGTAATTTTGCGTCCACATTTGTTATGTGTATGAAAGTGAAGATAAATTCAGTATTAGATGTTCCATTACATGGGTGTGGGTTGCTTTATTCACTGGTTATATTCCATCTTTATAGTTCTGCAGTCCATCTGGTGCTCAACTATAGTTAGGGAAAAAGAAGTCTTACAATGTATGTAATGACAGGTAAAGGCAGTATCTGGTACCAGGAAACATGCTTTGCTAGCTGATTACGGCCACATGCAATGTAAATAGACAGGGACCAGTTGACAAGGGAGACAGTGTCCTCTGGGCCAATAGTATACAGGGGGGGAACAATTCTATGATTAAAAGCAAATGGAGAAATGCTGGCATGTCTTTTGGCAGAGTACCGCAGGAGGAAGTAGGCAGGGATTTTTCAGGGTTTTAATAGCACTACATTGTTTGTATTGTGTTTGGGATGGTAACCACAATCTCAATGCGTTCCAGTGTTGAATTGGCGCACTAAGAGATTTCTCAGGAGGCTATAGTCTCTGGGCTGATCAGGCTGCCAGATTATGATAACTATGTGTGGTGCCCTTTGAGGTGTTTGCAAGTAGCTGATATGACAGTGGTCAAGACACTCATCACATGCACATGTAATCATTGGTGACAATGGAGTTGCGGGAAGCAGAGTTTTAGTCTCTTAAGGGTACATTAAACACTAAACATTAAAAACAACATTGGCTTAATGAAGTCATTTATGAACCTGCATTCCCTGCTCAATTCTTTGCCATTCCTTTGTTTATGCAGCCCTAGTAACACCTCCCCTGCATATGATATGCACAGTCTCACCACACCACACATTTCAAAGTGGGTATTTAGTAAATTAAAGGCTCAGGTGATATTTGGAATTTTAAGACCTGACAATACATGAAACCTCAAACTTCCTTTTCCTAAAGGAATCGATGTTGCCAGGCCATGGCAAAATGGAAGGGAGTGGGAATTAAAAGGTGCTGAATCCTACAACACTGCCCAGGTATTAACCCAACAAGATAGACAAGCCACTTCAGATGAGAGGCAGGGAAACCGAGGCGCTCACCCAAAGGCGATGCCGACAAATTGTTGCAAACCTCCACAGGTCAACACTCCTCTCCTTCCCCCCAAGCGGGGCGAGGAAGGACGCAAAACCCATCCCTAGCCCTCAACCCGTTCTCCCACCACACTATCCCTTTCCATACCACTATACCCTCAACCACTGCACGGACATCGCAAGGCACGAAACACGACCCCTAACACAAGGTGCACAACAGGGTAGAGAATGACTAAAACGAGGCCATAGCGCGTCTAGTGAATAAATTCCTATCCCCATATCTCTCTTGCTACCCTACCCATATTTGCATACAACAACATTATGTGGGGATCTGTTATTTAGTGTCATGACTGCGGTACATTAACCCCCTCTTCATTCTGTAATGCTTACTTGTCATATAAAAAGTGCATTAACCCCTTTTTCCTTTTGTAATGATTACAAGATCTACAAAATACGCACTAACCCCTTCTTCTTTCTATAATCCTTATTCGAAATACAAAAAGAAAAAAAAAAATGAATTAAAAAATAAAAAAGTGCTGAATCCAATACAGAACAGGGAGGTCCCAACCTGAAAATAGGCATAGCTAAATGTAATTTTTTTATCATCCACCCGGAAAAAAAAAAGGTTTCCCAGAGTTCGTTTAGTGAAAGGCCAAGGCCAAACCCAGCTCCCTATCAGGAAGTTTCTAAGTGAATTCCTAGTTTTTGTGTCAATATGCAAAGAATATAAACAAGTTCTGTAACCTGCCTCATTGACGTTTGGTTTTACAATCCAAAAGGCAGTTCTAGGATTTGTCTTGCAAATCAGGCTGCAACTGCATATATGAAAGAACTGTAAACCACATCTATGAAATAAAGTAAAGCTCTATATGTTTGGGAAATGGCAACTGTGCAACTATCATTAAATGGTGGATACACTAAATCACTAAATGCATTTATTTTTCAGTGATCTTATCAATTTTATGACGAGTGGACCTATCATAGCTTTGGAAGTCATCGGAGATGATGCTGTATCTTCGTGGAGAAAATTATTAGGTCCAACAAATTCCTGTGTTGCAAGAAGTGAATCACCAGGAAGCATAAGGGCAAGATTTGGGACAGATGGCACGAGAAATGCTGCTCACGGCTCAGATTCCATTGCTTCAGCTGCTCGGGTTTGTGTACATTAATAATAATGCTATAAAATAATAGTTGGGAGAAGCTTGTGTCTTTATTAAATTCACAAACTATATTTTATATGATTAATCGTAGTTTAAATTATGCTCCTAGCATCTATCCCAAAATAAACCTAGCCTTCATTAAAAGAAGCCTTCACATTCCAAATACCAGAACACACAGGCTTTGCTAATAATTCAAAATATGCTTTTATATTTAACGTGTAGCATTAAATCACAATGGCTATTTCAACTGTCATTACGCAAAAGTATTTTGTTGGACTTGAGAGTTTCCTCTGTGGCTTTATAACGACCACCGTACATGATTACCCATTGACTATAGTTTAAAATATCTTCTTAAAGCCATGCCAGGCCAAACAATGTTCTTGAAGCTTTACATTTGGTGCTATGCCAGTTGGGCTGTCAGACATATTTAGCCTAATGTAAACCCTGCACTGTCTACAGTATAATATATGCAGCTATAACTTTGTCCCAGTCTAAGCTTTCCTTCAACTTGGCAACTTTCGCTATCATGATCTGTGATGTTTGATTATTGTGGTATGAATATATTAAATATGGAAATATGGTGTATGTTACATAGTTACATAGCTGAAAAGAGATTTGCGTCCATCAAGTTCAGCCTTTCTCACATTTGTTTTTTGCTGTTGATCCAAAAGAAAGCAAAAAAAACCAGTTTGAAGCACTTCCAATTTTGCAACAAGCTAGGAAAAAAAAAATCCTTCTTGACCCCAGCTGTTTGAACACCTGTATGGACTCTGATAAAACCACTTCTTCAGGCAGAGAATTCAACATCCTTATTGTTCTTACAGTAAAAAAAACCTTTCCTTTGCCTTAGACGAAATCTCCTTTCTTCCAGTCTAAACGCATGACCTCGTGTCCTATGTAAAGTCCGGTTTATGAATAGAATAGGTATGTGTTTATGTAGTTGGTCCAATAGGTAGTTCAAGTCATCAAACCCCATACTGCAAGGTGGGTAATAGCATTCATGCATTGTGCTCTGTAATGCACACTTTGACTGACACAATGCTCAAGGTAACACCAGATCATGAACATTTCCATCTACCTGAAATATGAAGGAGTTAACCTCTCGGACAGCAGCTGCCATTTGCAGATGTCAGTTTTAATTCTCTGATAACATAGCAGACAAGTAGCTGAAGAGACAGAAACAGCACAATTTGGTCTCCTCTGCTCCTCTCCTGGCATATCATTATCATGGAGAGACTGAATTAATAGAAGCAGCCACCCAGGAGTGTAACTTTCACCCTTTCTGGCCAGACAGGAACATATGTGTTCAAGTGTTGCTCGAAGATTTTGTTCCATTGTGCTAGTCCCACTATGTCTTCTTTCTTGGTGTTGCCATCTTGTAGTTTTCAGTATGGCGGTCACTGGAAACGGCTTCATCTGCCCTTCAAGCACATTGAGTACCTAAAACAGACAGCGATGATGTGACACTGCCAAAAGTGGTGTGTCGCTGGAAGGAGGTGTGTAAGAACATGTCAACCAACGGTAAAAGTTGACAAATGATATGGAGCTAGACTCCACTTTTGTCAACCTGCAGGTTATACGTAAAAGTATAACTTCCTCATGATATTCATAATTGGGGAACAAAAAAAGGGGAGGGGGTGAGATTTGGACAAAGCAAATGTGACATATCCGCTTTAAAGAAACCAGAACACTAACTCTAGCCTTACTTTTCAATAAATCATGTCATAGAGAAAAAAAATATATAATATATATATATGTAACAGTGAATCGTGAATTAGAGGTAAATAGCCATCCTGGGGCTTTGCAGACATTCACAAATCACTTGACTGTCCATGACGTTTTAATGATGTCTCCAGAACTACTTGATGGCATTATTTCCCTATAACAATCAGTGCAATGTGTATTATATTCTCTCTCTATATCACAATATAATAAACTTATAAACATTATTTTTATTTTTCCATATAGCCTGACTTGAATGGATTGTTTGAAACTCCATCTAACACAAATAAGATGGTATGCTCATGTAGCATGTTTTAGTTACTCTAGCTTAATCTAGTCTGCAGGATTGTATATATGTTTTGTTATTCTGCTGGGCTTTCTTAGTTACTTTTGTTTATTTACTATTTTGCATGGCTCATACACTGAAATCTGTTCACCACAGTTCCTCCCTTTATTCAATAAAAAAAAATGTATTTTCTTCTATAGGACCGGTTTAACACGTTTTTTTTTTTTGTTTGTTTGTTTTTTTATAAAGAGCTATGTAGCAATTTGTTATTATATGATACAAATCATGTTTGCCCTTACACTTTGCTACTTCTCTCTTTCTTTGACATATAAAATTGTCATACTCAGGGGAAAAAAATCAGAAAATACAACTGACCAAACCGGTTTTATCAAGCAGTACTTTCCCATACATTTGTATTAGACTAACACTGAGCTTGCTCTTGTACATGGTACATAATAGTGCTTTCCATGAGAGGCATTGAAATGTATATACCATTGCCACTTGTGCTTGGATTAGCTTCAGCGATGGTTTTGGTAACAAATTTCAGCAGTGCAGGTTCTACCTGCAGAACATTTTTTAAGCAGGGTAAAGCCATTTGCCTTACATGAAAGTTGTCCTGTTATCATTAGTGACACTTGACATTGGCAAGTCTCCACTACTACAATCAGCGTACAGATTTTTATTTTCCTTGTAATATCATGTTAGTCTTCCAAGCCAGGTTAATCTTGGGATGGACATCCTGCTGTCCAGAGGGGGAAAAAAACCTTTAAAAAGGGGGGATGAGGGGGGTGTGGAGGAAAAACACTTTAGACACAACAGGGTAATACCTAAATCCTGGACTGGTAGGGGGTCCTTGAGGACAGGGTTGTGAACCCCTGCTTTGTAGGATCAACTGAGAACCCTTTTTTAGTCTCTTTTTGTAAGGGCTAAATGAATTCTGAAGGTTGTTCAGGCTAATGATAGAAAACTAGCCTGAATAGCAATTTGTGTTGGAAATTGGCTGAATGTGTCAGCTGATTGTTTCGAGCCTATCACAGCCACCCATTACTGTATCATTTAGTATGGCTAACAAAGAGTGTAATCTCTTCCTTAGCCATGTCTCCAGTGTTCAGTGTTTAACAGCCTGGATTGGTTTAACGCTGAATGGAGGAGCATTGCAGAGACTTCAGGTACTACAGGCAGATCAATTAGATTAAATGGTGCCCAGTGTGTCCTTTTAAGCTTATTCTAGAGGATGTTTGTCTTATATCCCATAAACAAGAACCTTTGCTGGAGCAGACCTTACTGTTATAGATTAAGATTTGTTTTCTTTATATTTTGTAGAATTAAGCGCTAGTTTCTATAGATCTGGTATGTTCTTACAAATTGCTATACTTCATTTTCCGTTTATGTTATTTTTCTTATCATTGCTAGGAGTTAGAGTTTTTCTTTCCATCAAGCGGAGGACGTGGCCCAAAAAACACCGCAAGGTTCACAGATTGTACCTGTTGTATTATTAAACCTCACGCTGTGTCTGAAGGTAAGCATATACAATCACTACACTTTGGTTTAGTGTTTTAATAATACTTTTTATTTCCAGGTACTAACCCAACTGTATTCTTCTAAAATACAATGCATCAATCATTGGAATAATAGCACAACGGGGAAAATAATAGCTGATGTTATATCTAGTCATTACTGGCTTTATCCATGCTAGGAAATGTAACTTTTAGCAATTTGTAATCAGAGGCTGAAGAAACGTTTAATATCTCTAATAATTGTCCACAAAAAGCACTATCACCTTGTATGTATGTAAAAATAATACTGCCTGACACTACCTGGCTAAAATTATACCAAATGTATTTAGATGTAAACAGAAAAAGGCAAGTAGATGAACACAAACTCTCAATACAACCTATAAAGAAAATACATATAGGTTTAATATTCAAAGGGATACTCCAGGCACCCAGACTACTTCTGACAATTGGAGTGGTCTGGGTGCCAACTCCCACTACCCTTAACCCTGCAACTGTAATTATTGCAGTTTTCATAAACTACAATAATTACCTTGCAGGGTTAAAGGGACACTATAGTAACCTGAACAACTTCAGCTTAATGAGGTTGTTCAGGTGAGAACTATAGCTACCTGCAGCCTTACTCATGTAAACACTGTATTTTCTGAGAAAATACAGTGTTTACATTCAAAGCAGTTGCAGTCACTAAGAGTGAACTAGAGGGACTTCTGAGTTGATGGAGGCATAATATGCCTCCATTCACTCAGATCTGCTGTGCACGAGCATCCTGTGATTCAGTATCTCCTCCCACTGCATGCAGACACTGAACTTTCCTCATAGAGATTCATTGATTCAATTCATCTCTATGAGGAGATGCTGATTGGCCAGGGCTGTGTTTGAATCATGCTGACTCTGCCCCTGATCTGCCTCCTTGTCCGTCTCAGCCAATCCTATGGGGAAGCACTGTGATTGGATCAGGCTATCACATGTCAGCAGACTGCTTGTTTTTCCTGAGTCTTACAGCATGCAGATTTACAGTTTCTGGCATGAATACAGTAAGATATTTACTATATTTATGGAGGCATGAGGGGCCCAGGGGGGCTAGATGGTCGTGTTAACACTATAGAGTCAGGAATACATGTAGTTGCACTGGTGACTATAGTGTCCCTTTAAGTCCTCCTCTAGTGGTGGTATATCAGACAGCCACTAGAGGGACTTCCGAGTTGTTAGAACATGAAAAGTGTGTTATACGATGCTGGACGTCCTCACGCTATGTGTTTTCCTGGCACTGGCTCCAATATATTTAGAAGGCTACAATATATTTAGAAATAGTAGATCAGGTGGGAAGCGCGCCCGATGGACACAAAATAGGAAAGCAAATTGTTCATAAACAGTTTCATAAACAATGTGAGGGTTAGGGGGGCACAAGGATACTCATGGCACCATAACCAGTGCAGCATGCTGTAGTGGTTATGGTGCTTTAAATGTTCAAGGAAGCCTGCATGTATTTTTCAGCCAAAAACTCCTACCATGGTAATTTATTTTACGGTTACATTTTACTTGCACAAAAAAACAAGTAAACAATGGCGCTACAATTATGTTCAAAAAAACTTCAAATAGATGTAATAAAATATTGTGCAAACAAAAAAGCAACACCTAAAGTGCATTAGCCCATACATATACACTCTTAAATACCAAACAACGAATTAAGGCGCGCACCTTAACTAGTTGTTTGTTACATTTTACTGGCAATCATGAAAACCAGCCCATAGTGGGTAGGCCTGAAATAGATAGTGAATAAATTCCTTAGAGACATAGCTTAATAATTCCGTTCAACCCACTGTATAAAAACACACACATAATTCACATATTATCTAGATCTTGTAAAATGTTTATTTATATACTTTTGTCCTTTTATAATTTCGTACTTTATCTTTTCTCAATATTCGCAAATATTTTTTTTTGTATTTGTGCTGTAATTTTGCCATGTATTTCATTCAAGATTAATATTTGTTTTAAGAATTCTGCTTTCCATGTCTTTCCAAGGAGTTTGTGAAGAAAAAGAAAGCAAATCTCATTTCACAATGTCCCAGCGGATAATTGTGATGGGTGGACCCATTTGGCTGGTGTTATTAAACATATGACCTATTTGCAGAATCAGTAATACTTAATGTGTTGGATACTAAAGCAATTCATTCACTAAATACAGAATTTTATTAAACTGAAACCTTAATTTCTAAATTTACCAAATCCACTGAATTTGTTTAAATTTTACGGTTCAAATTCACTTCAATGCAGTTCAGTGTTTAACGATTAACCCCCTTCATTATTTCCTTTTATTTTAATCATTTATTGGAAAAACATTTTAATTTGCCAGCCGTTCACGTTAAATGTATATATTTTACTGTGCACAAAATAACTGCAGGTATTAACAAAGATTGGCTAAATAGTGTTTTTGTGTTTTCCTCACTTGTTTTATAATACACCTCATTTGGGGGTATGTAAAGTTCACATAAACATTAAGGGATGAAAGCAGTACAATACCAATTAGATATATTATATAAAATACTGCAAACAACAAATACAGCTACCAGTTTTTTTTGATTAATTGAACCTCATTTTTATTTGTTTGCTTCAAATACAACTGTACTGGCACGGCCTGACATAAGATGCGAATTTAAAATGTCTGATGATTTACTGCATGTGACCATACATTTGTGTACTGAGAACTATGGGAATTGTTTTTCTTGGCACACGTGCATAAACATCTTAAAAATATGGCTGATAACAAGTTTGTTTTATACTTACCTTTGCTGTACACGTCAACTGAGTAAATATCTCAACAGCGTTTACTAGAATGAGTGAGAGACACATAGGTGTCAGTCTGCTCAGCCTTCTTTAATTAAGTAATTTTAAGACAACATCCAGTCCTTTATGGAAACAGCTTGTAATTAGATTTTTAAATGTTTTTTTAAGAGAATAAAATAGAAAATAGTTTCTCAACACACTAGGGATGAACTAAATTTCTGCCAAATAGCATAGACATGCACTTTTGCATCCTGTGAGCAATGCTTAGAAAAAAATACTACAATATGCCCATTTGCACTTTTTCCATTCTCATAAAGAAAATCCACAAAACATACATTAACCTAATTGTGTTCTCTGCTTACTCCACATTTCACCTCCTGTGGGAACACCATAAAGTAAAATAGAATTTCATAATCAGCAGAAACTTATTCTCTAAACTTTTTCAAAACTTTTTCCAATTTACACGTGTTCCACTTCTGTCTAAAGTAGCATAAGCCGTCTGACGTTGAAAGGGTTAATTCCTAAGACGTCATCAAATAAAGAAAAAAATGACCATTCTATAACCAAAGAGATTTGTGTATAATTGAATCCCATGCTTTGTTAATTGAATTGTCGAGTTTATTTCTAGCTGTCTGTTTGACATTAGCCATGGCATATGCACTCTGCCTTTCTTTCATCTTTATTTTATCACCTGCAAATGAATAATGTTATTAACTTATTTTATGATTCATTTTGCTGATATTTGTAATGCTACTAAGAAAATAGATAAACAAGTATTAGATATTTCTGGATTTCCTTTCAAGTCTTTAATGGCTCAAGGACTAATGCTTGCTTTTCTATGCCAATGACAGCCAACCTTGGCACTGGCTTGTTTTCCAAACCACATTTCCTGTGGCAGATTGCCAGTATGTAACTTTGCTGTCACCATTAGCTAAATCTTAAAGGAGCACTATAGGGTCAGGAACACAAACATGTATTCTTGACCCTATAGTGTTAAAACCAACATTTACATGACTTGTCCCCTGTTATGCCCTAAAGATGTAATAAAACTTACCTCATTTCCAGCACAGCGCGTGCCCGTCCCACGATCCGCCTCCTTGCTGACATTATCAGAATTTAGGATTTTTAGCGGATGGGAGGGGGTCAATCTACACCTCCACATAGAGATGTATTAAATCAGTGCATCTCTATGCAGCAACATAATGCAGCACTGCCACAAGAAGCACCTGTAGTAGCCATCTGAGGAGTGATCAGTGGCAGAATCCCTAGCTGTAATTTAAACACTGCCTTTTCTTTGAAAAGACAGTGTTTACATGAAAATGCTTGCAGGGAATGATTATACTCACCAGAACAAATACAATAAGCTGTAGTTGTTATGGTGAATATAGTGTCCCTTAAAAATGGACTTCTTACTTGTGAGGTCTCAAATATAATCATCATTGTCACTATTTTTCTTTCATCAGTGCATAGCAAAATAGGTTGATGAGATATAAATAGGAATATAGAATATGCAATATTCTATGTTTGAATCATGTTAGTACTTTTGTGACACTGCAGATGCCTCCACAGATTTTCTTGTGCATATGCATTGAGATGCCATGGGCATCGACTTCACATCAAAATAAGGTGGTGCTTATCCCAATCAGAAGTACATTAAAGCAATGCATTTTCCCATGTTTTGCCTTTTGATATTATTTACATTGCCTTACTCTTTTGTTTGCATTTCAGTGAAATTCCAGGCTCTAGCATCGTGACAGGTGTACCTGTGACATTTTGTGAACATTAGGCTTATAAACTTTTGACACACGTTTTTCTGGACTTTTATTTTTATTTTGTTATTCTGTCTCACTGTTAAAATGCACCTACCATTACAATTATAGACTGGTCATTTCTTTGTCAGTGGGCAAACATTCAAAATCAGCAGGGGATCAAATACTTTTTTCCCCTCACAGTATATCTGGTTAGCACAAATTAGGGGTAATCAGATGTTTTAGCAGACAGTACAGTGTTTGTGCTGGTAGCACTGGCTGGCAAAACTGATAATTTGGCTTTTTTTTTTTACTTCTACTTTTAATGCTTATTTTCAGAATCATTATGATAAATGCCTATGTAACAAGCTTTTCCTAGAGAGGAAAAAAAAAGGAAATTGTATGACTTTTTCTTTCTTTTGTGTCTGTCCCCCCCACCCTCCCACCCCTTTTTTTTTTCTTTTTTGTCACATGACCCCACAAAGTATATGATCTCAGAGCCACAAGCAAAAAATGAAATCTAAAAGAGTCTAATTCTATAGTCTTTATTTTTGTGTGTGTGTGTGTGTGTGTGTGTTTGTTTTTTTTTTTGTGTGGTGGTGCTTTTAAGGGAGTTAATGGACAGTTTAAAACCATTCAGAACCATTTCTTTTATTTTTAGATCACCAAATCTATCAATGACATTGACAACAGCGGGTCTCATTTGGCCCAGTTCCAGTGCTAGTGGCCCTGATAATTACACATTTAATCTGCACTAGATTTCTAGTAGTAGATGACATCAGTTTACTGATCACGTTATGGGGATGTGCTGTAATTTTCCAATGTTGGATAACACAATGGATTTGGATTTTGGTCTTATATTTGTAGCAGTGCGAGACTGACCACAGTCTATATATTACTAATCATTGGTTTACAGCTTCTCTCTGCCTTCCTAGTCCAAGCACCACAATCAGCTATGCCCTTTGCTGTCTCACTGCATACAAACAGTGGTCCTCTTAGCTGTAAATTTTAAGTAATTTCCTGGTTTTACAGATATCACTGATCCTGAGGTGGTTTTCTTTTTTTCCCAAGGCTATGGGAAATAACTTGTATTTTATATATTTTTTTATGTCTGCATCTTATTCACATGAGGCATAATGATGTCACACACTTGTTTTTAGGGAGAATAAGCTCATTATTTGTATGGCTTTTGCTATTTGTATTTTTTTGTACTGTGAAAACCTTTTGTGCTTTTTATACTTTTTGTTCTTTTTGAACTTTGATTCTTCCTTTAACAAATTTCTTTAAAGATTCTCAAAAAAGGCATCCAGACCACTTCTGCCCATTGGAGTGGTCTGGGTGCCAACTCCCACTACCCTTAACCATGCAACTGTAAATATTATAAACTGCAATATTTACCTTGCAGGGTTAACTCCTCCTCTAGTGGCTGTTTCTAGCACACGCTATGTGAGGACCTCCAGCGTCGCTAAAATCCCCATATGGAAGCATTGAAAGCATTTTTCAATGCTTTCCCATGGGGAGGTCTAATTGCGCATTAGGTCTCACTCTGCCGGCGGCCGCGCATGCACAATCGGTCTCCCCCGCCGGATGACGTCAGCCGGGGAGGAGCGTGGGCGGACCCTGGACCAGCGCCGAGGGACATCGACGCTGGATTCCGTCGCAACCTGGGATGAGGGGTGGGAGGGAGAGGGGGCCTGCAGTGCCAGAAAAATGGTTTGTTTTCCTGGCACTGGAGTGTCCCTTTAACCTTTGTTGTTGGATATAGTGTTGAAAGGAATATTGCTTTTAAGTGATGCAAGCTATTCAATTGAATCTTCTAGTTTGCATTCTTTTTTTAAACCAGTATGAGTGTCTAATTGCAAAGGCTGCCCTTGGTCTTTTTTGTGGCTCATTATTTGTTGTCATTTTATATTCATTGTTGACTTTACAGCAATATTCAAAGTAATCGGCATTTGATAGGTTTATTTTAGCCTTTCTTGGTGTAATTTGCATGCTAGGAAAACAGTGGCATATCACCCTTCTGTTGTGCAGGAACAGAGATTGCTGCTACTGATTCCTGCCAAACGGGTTTATGCTGTTGAAAGCAATGAACCATAAAATAGCCAATATGATTAATTATTGGCTTTTCTTTTATGGTTTGTCCAGCACAAACATCCTTAACCTAAAATTAACCCACAACAATAACCCTCCATATCTACATTTGCAAGCTCTGCATTGCAATCTTATTTTCTATGTCTTGCTTGTAGTATCAAGTAAATACCCCAGAAAGAATATAAAATGGGTGCCCTCATCTGGCAAAAATGGCCCATTCAGTGTAAACATTGCCTAACTTATCTATGCTTTCCCAGGTTTGGCGTATCGTGCTAGTTAAGTCTGTGACCGTTTCATGTTAAAACAGGAAAGTGCTTCTCCAAATTGTGGCTTTAAAAAGCTGCAGTAAGAAAAGCTGTAGTGTTGCAGGTCTCCGTGCCTCCTGTAAAGCCAACCTTCAACCTGACTCCAAGCTCCATCCCCACCCCTATATAGGTGGAGAACCATATTGGGGTGCTATATAACAAGGGAGGCATATACATCTCCCTTCTTCCAATAAGCAGGATTGCTGAAGCATTCATGCTGGTGCTAATGTATGAGGGTAACATTTATAACAGAAGGACAGATGGTCTTAAAGATGCATGGGTCCAAATCTGCCTGTTTGTACAATAGAGAAGGGATCCAGGCACTCCAATATCTTCAAATACGTTTATTGGAACAAGTGAGACACAGCAACGTTTCGATCCCTAATAGGGTCTTTGTCAAGGTCCCAGTTTGTGTGAGATTCACAAAGTTCTATAATCTACTAAGTCATAAATGAGACCCAATGGGGCCAAAGTTAGACACTTCAAAAAATCATGATACTGTCTCCATACTCTTTGCAGCAATATGAAAAGATAATTTTAGTTATATATCCCGCCCCTCACACATAACTCACAGGAAGGAGCTGTGCTTTCATTTGACAATATGTGTTTTTGTAAGGAGCGTACCCACCTGCTTTTATCGAGGTTCCTCTTGTTAAATACCTGATACACGTATGGAGCCGTTACCAGCTGGTAGCTCAATTCATATTTTTTTCTTAACAAAGCTACCGGTAGGTATTTGGGTCCTTCAGAGAGCACAATGAAAGAGCCTTTCAGAGGAGGTGTCAGCTTGTATGGAATATGGCCATCCTGCCACCAGGGGGAAGCATAACTTGGAGCATTCCTTTAGTGACCTTGGAATGTCCCTTTAAGCAAACAATTTTTATTAAACTTCTTTATAGTTATACTTCATTGTGAAGTTACTTTTACCTGATTTGAAATTCACTGGTTTAGTTGTTATCAACCTGCTCCGTATAGTAATTAACTTTTTCATTTGACATATTTAAATAATGACCTAGTGTGCCAAAGTTAACTAGTAAAACTCTGTTAATTTATAACTTTTTTTTGTTTCATCCCTTTCACCTTTTTTCTCAAAATGTCGTAGATCATTTCTAGTTTTCTGCTCTCTAAAGCAGTGGAAAATTACTTCATTTTCTCTCAAAGCAGACTCATTGATCAGCATTGTCAGTTGCTAAGTAACAAAGTCCAAAAGCTAAGATTGATAATGCCATACCTACTACAACATTCGCATGACGCAAGGATCGTGACATATGATAAATAATACAATAGGGAACTCTGTAAAAGAGGCATTCTAGGATCATAATGAAACAATTTAACATTCTAATCTGAAATAATGGCATCTTGTATTTGGGATTGATTGTTCAAATTAAATATGTCTCATTGTACATTCTCTACCAAAAGTATTGTTTTAATCAAAATGTATCACTTTTCTTTCCATTTTGTAGGACATACAGTCACAGGAAAAAGAAAGTATGCCCTCTTTAAAGGGACACTGTAGTCACCAGAACAACTACAGCTTATTGTATTTGTTCTGGTGATTAGAATCATTACCTTTAGGCTTTTTGCTGTAAGCACTGTCTTTTCAGAAAAAATGCAGTGTTTACATTACAACCTAGTGATAACTTCACAGGCCACTCCTTAGATAGCTGTTAGATATCCTTCCTGGGTCATGGCTGCATCCAAACATTCAGTGTCTCCTCCCTCTGCATGCAGACACTGAACTTTCCTCATAGATTCATTGATTCAATTCATCTCTATGAGGAGATGCTGATTGGCCAGGGCTGTGTTTGAATTGTGCTGGCTCTGCCCCTGATCTGCCTCTTTGTCAGTCTCAGCCAGGGCCGGACTGGCCCACCAGGATACCGGGAAATTTCCCGGTGGGCCGCGGCACCTGGGGCTGGGCTGACAGCCCCATTCAGAACTGAACAGGCTCCTGTGATCCCGGCCGGCCATGTGCGAGCTGTGCGGCCGCACAGGGCCCAATGGGAGCAGGGGGAGCCAGGCAGCCAGCACAGCTCACACATGACCGGCCGGGATCATAAAAGCTTAGCGTGTGGCGGGGCGGGGCTTAGCGTGCGCGGGGGGCCTGGTAAATGCAGCATGGGAAGCAGGAAGGCCTGCTTCCCCAACAACCAGCCTCCAGGAGCTCCAAGGGATCAGTGTGGTCAGTGTGTCTGTGTGTGACTGCCTGTGTGTGTATGTGTGACACTGTCTGTGTGTGTGACTGTCTGCCTCTGTGTGTATGTATGACTGTCTGTCTGCCTGTGTGTGTGACACTGTCTGTGTGTGTGACTGTCTGCTTCTGTGTGTATGTATGACTGTCTGCCTGTGTGTGTGTGTGTGACTGTCTGCCTCTGTGTGTATGTATGATTGTCTTCCTCTGTGTGTGTGTGTGTGTGTGTGTGTGTGACTGTCTGCCTGTGTGTGTATGAGACACTGTCTGTGTGTGTGTGTGTGTGTGTGTGTGTGACTGTCTGCCTCTGTGTGTATGTATGAATGTCTGCCTGTGAGAGAGAGACTGTCTGCCTCTGTGTGTATGTATGACTGTCTGCCTGTGTGTGTGTGACACTGTCTGTGTGTGTGTGTGTGACTGTCTGCCTCTGTGTGTGTGTATTATTTGCCTGTGAGTGTGTGGCTATCTGCCTGTGTGTGTATGACTATCTGCTTGTGTGATTGTGTGGCTATCTGCCTGTGTGTATGTATGATTGTCTGCCTCTGTGTGTGTGTGTGTGTGTGACTGTCTGCCTGTGTGTGTGTGTGTGACTGTCTGCCTGTGTGTGTATGACACTGTCTGTGTGTGTGTGTGTGTGTGTGTGACTGTCTGCCTCTGTGTGTATGTATGAATGTCTGCCTGTGTGTGTGTGTGTGAGAGAGAGACTGTCTGCCTCTGTGTGTATGTATGACTGTCTGCCTGTGTGTGTGTGACACTGTCTGTGTGTGTGTGTGTGACTGTCTGCCTCTGTGTGTGTGTATTATTTGCCTGTGAGTGTGTGGCTATCTGCCTGTGTGTGTATGACTATCTGCTTGTGTGATTGTGTGGCTATCTGCCTGTGTGTGCTTGACTGTCTGCCTGTGTGTGTGTGTGTGTGTGTGTGTGGCTTTTGGTGTGTGTGTGGATGTCTGCCTCTGTGTGTGTGTGTGGATGCCTGCCTCTGTGTGTGTGTGTGTGGATGCCTGCCTCTGTGTGTGTGGATGTCTGCCTGTGTGTGTGTGTGTGTGTGGGTGCCTGCCTCTGTGTGTGTGGATGTCTTTGTGTTTGTGCATCTGCTAGTGAGTGAGTGAGCTTCTGTGTGTGTGTGTGCGCGCATCTGCTAGTGAGTGAGCTTGCATGCGTGTCAGTGAGCTTGTCTGTAGGGACCGTGTGTGTGTTAGTGTGCTTGTCTGTAGGGAGCATGGGTGTGTCTGCTCCTGTCTGTGGTGAGCATGTGTGTGCAGTGAGCTTGTCTGTAGTAAGCTTGCGTGTGTATCAGAGTTTGTCTTTACTAAATTTGTGTGTGTACCAGTAACCTTGTCTGTGTGTGTCATTGAGATTGTCTGTCAATGCATCAGTAAGATTGTCTGTGTCTGCATGTGAGTATGCTTTACTGTATAATTTAATTACCCTAAAAGGACTAATAATTTAAATTGAAAAAGAAATATTCCAATAATAACATATATATATATATATATATATATATATATATATACCGGTGTGTATATATAGATATGTGTGTGTGTGTATATGCTATGTAGTGTGTGTTATATAACACACACTACATAGCACAATGACTTATGGGGCTGCCATAGATTTTTTTCCAGGGCTGCTTCGTGTCCCCAGTCTCAGCCAATCCTATGGGCAAGCATTGTGATTGGATCAGGCTACCACTTCTGCTGATGTCAGCAGGCAGTGGGCAGGTCTAAAGGAAACAGGAAAAAAGTAATCAGCTCCAGACTTGAATACAAGTAAGACTTGACTAGATGTAGGGAGGCATGAGGGGACCAGGGTGGCTAGATGGTGGTTTTAACCCTATAGGGTCTGGAATACATGTTTGTGTTCCTGACCCTATAGTGCTCCTTTAAATTATATTGTTTTACATATCAGGACATAATAACAATCATTTTTCCCTTAGTAAGTCTTAAAATTAAGTAAATACAGCCAACAACAGATGACATATTACACATGATTTATTTAACAAAAATAAAGCCAAAAAGGAGAAGCCATGTGTGAAAAACTTAGCACACCGTATGATTCAAAAGCTTGTTGAACCGCCTTTCGGAGCAATAAGTTGACTTTTTCATTTTCTGTATGAATTTCAGTCTCACATCGTTGTTGAGGAATTTTGTCCTATTCTTCTTTACAATGTTTCTTCAGTTTATTGTGGTTTTCTGGCATTTGTTTATACACAACTCTCTTAAAGGACCTGCCACAGCTTTTCAATCGTGTTAAGGTTGGGACTTTGACTGGGCTATTGCAACACCACGATTCTTATATTTTTTAGCCATTTTGTTGTAGATTTGATGGTGTGCTTAGGATTATTGTCCTATTGCATGAACCAATTTCAGCCAAGCTTTAGCTGTCGGACAGATGGGCTCTTTGGTATACAGAGGAGTTCATGGTCGACTCACTGTCAGCAAGGTTCCCAGGTCCTGTGGCTGCAAAACAAGGCCAAATCCTCAATCCTCGCTCACCATGTTTGACAGTTGGCATGAGGTGTTTGTGCTGATATGCTGTGTTTGTTCTTCGCCAAACGTGGCGCTATGTATTATGGCCAAACATTTCCACTTTGGTCTTGTCTGTCCAAAGGACATTGTTCCAGAAGTCTTGTGATTTGTTCAAATGCAACTTTGCAAACCTAAGAAGTGCTGCCATGTTCTTTTTAGAGAGAATAAGCTTTCTCCTGGCAACCTTTTCAAACAGACCATACTTGTTCAGTCTTTTTCATGAACCTTAACATGCTAATTTCAGGCCTGTGGAGTCTGAGATGTAATTCTTGTTTTGTTTTTTTTGTTGTTGCAATTTCTCTGAACATATCACGTTATGTCCTTGGGGTGAATTTGTTGGAACATCCACTTCTGGGTAGACTAGCAACTGTCTTGAATGTTTTCCAATTTTAAATAATCTTTCTCACTGTTGAATGATAGACTTTTAAATTGCTTGGGAATGACCTTATAGCCCTTCCCAGTTTGATAGGCAGCAACAAATGTTTCTCTAACATCATTGCTGAGGTCTTTCCCAATTGGCATTGTGCTAAAACACACCTGAATGCTGAATGCTCTAGACCAGCAAACTGCTAAAGCGTTGGATTTTATAGAAGTGGTCACACATACTGATAATCAATTAATCAAGGGCATTTGTTTAGCAGCACCTGTCTGCTACTTACCCTCTTAATCCCTATGGAAGCAGTTTGGGTGTACTTAGTTTGTCACACATGGCTTCTCCATTTTCACTTTATTTCTGTTACATAAATTATGACACGGTGTAATATGTCATGTGTTGTTGTTCATCTGAGGTTATATTTACCTAATTTTAAAACCTGCTAAGGAACAGATGATTGTTAGTATGTTCTGATATGTAAAACCATAGAATTCAAAGAGAGTGTACTTTCCGTTTCTCATGACTGAAGAGAGCATAAATACTAGCTGCATAAAGCCATTCCTGAAATTTGCCTTTTCTTTAAATTTTTGTCGTTTTTAATAATCTCCAGGAGAGCCCTATCATTAAAGTCATTAACATTATTAACGGTCATCATAAATAGAGCTCTGTAGGGAGAGTGTTGTCAGACTTAACCTCCCCCCTATTGTTTGATAACTACAACTCCCTTTACTACCTGCCAGCTTAATGCTGGATGTGGGATTTGCCTCCTAACAGCTGCTGGGTGGTTACAGTTCAGCATCTTACATTTGGAGTGTATGTATACTCAATCACTGCAGCTGTACTTTTCAGACATACTAACATTACCACTGGCTAGCCAGAAATAAAGGTCATCCGTGAAGGACAGAGAAGTCATTTAAGTGTTAGAAATTGCTTACTATGGCATTTAGCATAAACAAATAAAAAAAAGTCATATTTGATGATAACCATTTTCTGTTGTTTGTGATGTGTGTTATTACTTTTTCTTTATTTAGTTTTTTTTTGTAAAGAAATGTGTTAGTATTACAAAATTTTGGTGGATCTTGCATCTTATTTCATGTAAAGATATTAAATAGATGCATCTAGTATACAGACTGCAAATAAATAATACAAGCAATAGATTAAACTATATATTAGATTACTCCTCCTGTCTTTCTGGTTCTGGACTCCAAGACAATGAAAAGCTTTACAATACCTTTGTCATCTTAGTCTGTTTATAACCGCATATCCCTGTCCTTGTGTGTGAATTATCTAATGTGCAACGCCAGTGTTTTCACAGGGGGGATATGCATGCCATCACCTAAGTTTACAGCAAATGCAAGGGAAGCTCTGTGTGTTGAATAGACGAGGGTAACAAGAAAATAGGACTGTGCAGCACTGAAAAGTACTGACAGCTCGATTATTCTACTTGCCAAGATGAACCTGATACATAAATTGCTGTACTGACCTGCTTCAGTCACTAAACCCCTATTTGTGTTGGACAGCGTTAAGCTCAGGAACTCAGGAAGTGCTGTGAACAACTTGATGCACACTCAGCTCATACTTGGGATTCTTGGGCAAAGCACCTTTCTCTGATCAGCAATAACTGTTTCCCAAGTCTGCTGTTGGCTTGGAGCTGAAACGGTGCTGTCTCATGACAACGCCTAATCTGTGTGTCCACGCTAGGTACATTCCCAGGTGACCTCTTACTGGGATGCGGAGGCCTTATTGGTCTCCTTCCATGGTCTTGTGGGATACGAGTAGACTGCAGTCGCTTCTCGCTAGTGCCCCTCTAGCTCAGCCCCCTCTGATAAAGTTAGTGATGCAAACGTGCTTGCATCATTGAGCAAACTACATTTTGACGCTACAGGCGAGTTACTGACCAATCTCTGTCCTCCTAATGTTATTTAAACCCATTTTGGCTCTACTTCTATGCCCTGTCATGGTTTCTGTTTACTGGCTATCAGAGAGCACATTTATCTCGTATTTCTCTTGGTTTGTTATTGACTTTCTTCTTTCTATAATCCTTGACATTTTGGCCTGTCTTATTGTACTTGTCTCATGCTGTATCCCAGACCTTGACTTGTCTCAGACTATTCTATTTTGACTTTCATATTATTTCATATAAGGAACATGTCAGTGTCAAGTATTGCTAAGATTAATTTGTTGCTTGAATTTTGCATTGTATTTAAATGGATATCTTCAAACAAGAAACTTATGCTTAAAGGACCACTATAGTGCCAGGAAAACAAACTCGTTTTCCTGGCACTATAGTGCCCTGAGGGTGCCCCCACCCTCAGGGTCCCCCTCCCGCCCGGCTCTGGGGAGAGGAAGGGGTTAAACACTTACCTTTCTCCAGCGCCGGGCGGGGAGCTGTACTCCTCCTCTCCTCCTTGCTCGCGACGTCATCGGCTGAATGCGCATGTGCGGCGGCGCGATTCAGCCCGGTCACATAGGAAAGCATTTACAATGCTTTCCTATGGACGCTTGCGTGCTCTCACTGTGATTTTCACAGTGAGAAGCACGCAAGCGCCTCTAGTGGCTATCAATGAGACAGCCACTAGAGGCTCTGGAGGCTGGATTAACCCTCAGTATAAACATAGTTTCTCTGAAACTGCTATGTTTATAAAAAAAAGGGTTAATCCTAGCTGGACCAGGCACCCAGACCACTTCATTAAGCTGAAGTGGTCTGGGTGCCTAGAGTGGTCCTTTAACACACAAATGACCCCGATATAAGTATAGATATTTTTAATGAATGTCCAAGGTAACTACGCTTGGATTTTTTTTTTTTTTAATTCTTTATTTTTTTTTTGTGTGCATGAGGTAACAAAACATCTTACAATGCCACAACAGCGTATGTAAGCACAATAATAATAACAGTTTTTCACATATAGGGCATTAAAGTAGTGGCACATTTTAGGTGTAGATATAGACAGGTTATGCATACACATCTAATTGTAGGTCACAACGGTTAAAAAGAAAAAAAAAAGTAAAAGGCTAAACGTGCAAGATGTGGTGTATAGAATGCTAGGTACAATAACTGAGTGTTGTGAGTGTAGGAAACAGGCTAGGGCCATTAGTTTACTTCACAAGATCAGCTTAGTAGCAATGAGTTAGATTACATATATCTATGCTTAAGGAGGTCAGAAACAAATGATTAATTATGGTAAGCATAATACTGCAGTGTGCGGTCAAACAAACGTATGAGACACAGTGTAGTGTACAACTGACAGCATGCTTGATCCAGGCAGTATGTTATAACAAATAGGCATAGATATAGCATGAATGGCAATAGTGCTGCTCATGTTATAGAGATTTAACATTTCTTGTGATACAGTAACCTATCCATTAGTATGTGCTAATTCAGATGCGTTCAGATGCTAAGTAATACAAAGGTATAATCATGCGAGGCAAACTTCTCCGAACAATATATACTGGCGATCAGTGATGCTGTCTATACATGAGGAGGATTAAGTATACACATGGAAAGCACGGTGCATATAAAAACAGAAAGAAAAAAATATTAAACAAAAATAGGGTATATGCATCAGGAGTAACTATAAATGAGAGTGACCCCTTGGAGGCCCCTAATACCCTTCATTTGTGAGTCCCACTCATTCAAGACAAAAAGACAGAAAACTTCGGAGTCTCTTGTGGGTGCCGTTGGAACGACTTGCCAGGAGTGGGAAAGTCCTCAGCTCATCTTTGGAGCTAGTCAATCCCCTGTTGGAGCCAGACTAAGTTTTGCCATGAGAGTCCTGGTGTCAGAACCAGCAGCCACAGGCGTGGAGGCAGGTAAGCTCAGAGTAGCATTCAGGCAAGGTGTTCGACGTCTGTCTGATCTTTGCTAGTGGCAACAGTGACTTACTTGGTTTGTGGTGCAGAGTAGTCGTGCTGCGCCTTAATGGGTCACCAACCCTTCGCTCCACCTTGGGTCTCCTCCAGCGTCGTCGTGCCACTCTAGCTTGATGGGCAACATCTGCAGCTTGGGAAGCTTCTCTGCACTGTTGTCCTGCAGCCGGAGATCTGCTTGGTGTGACGGGTCCCATACTCGCTTGTAACTTCGGCTCCCTCAATGGCTCCTTCTTCCGTACTGCCTTGCACTGACTCTTAGATGGGGGACGTCGCACGCCACTCCGCCATTTTGGGGCCTGCTCCACCGCATTTGACGCCGTCTTCCTGAGTTCCCGGTCGAGTTGCACAGACTGTCCTCTGGGTGGATATGCACTCGTTTGTATTGCGACTTGCATTGTGGAATCACTCAACCACTGTAGGGTGGTTTGAGGCATCTTGCTTTCAAGCTTCTGCCAGAAATCCTCTAATTTTCTCCAGTCGAGTCATGATGGTAGGTGCTGTAGCTCTAAGGTTGGTGGAATGCATGGCATCCGCCATTATAGGTGAGTTGTTGTGCTGCGTGCTCAGTCTTATGTACGCCATGATGTGGTTATTTCACATTCCTGGGCTACCATATGGTCTCAAAAGGCAACACAGACCCAGCAAACCAATCTGGCAAAGTGAATTGGGTAATCCCTATATTGACCCTGTAACTTTCCAAAACACCATAAAACCTCTACATGGGAGGTTTTGTTATACTCAGGAGACTTCGCTGAACACAAATATAAGTGTTTAAAACAGTAAAAATGCAGGGTCTGACAGCAGGGAGGCGTGGGAGGTGCGAGCGGACAGGAAAATCAGCCTTGCTGCTGCATTCATTATAGATTGCAATGGTGCAATCTAGGAACACGTAAGACTACTGAGAAGAGTATTGCAGTAGTCCAGGTGAGAGAGAACAAAAGCATGGACCAGCACATTAGCCGCATCTGGGGTTAGATAGGGGCGGATGCGCGCTATGTTTTTGAGATGGAAGCGACAGGATTTGGCGATTGATTGGATGTGAGGAGTGAAGGAGAGGTTGGAGTCAAAAAGAACACCCAGGCAGCGAGCCTGCGAGGTAGAGGTGATGGTAGCACCGTTGACTTGGAGGTAGACAGACACGGGAGTAGTAACACTTGAGGGAGGAAAGACCAGAAGTTCTGTTTTGGACAGGTTGAGTTTAAAGAAGTGAGCAGCCATCCATTTGGAAATCGAAGAGAGGCAGTCAGAGACACGAGTCAAGATGGGCGGAGAGAGATCAGGAGAGGACAGGTAAATTTGCGGGTCATCAGCATAGAAATGATAATGGAAGCCAAACGAGCTGATGAGTTTACCAAGGGAGGCAGTGTAGATAGAGAACAGTAGGGGACCAAGGACAGAACCTTGGGGGACGCCAACAGAGAGTGGTTGGGAGGAGGAGGCAGAGTCAGAGAAAGAAACACTGAAAGAGCGCTGGGAGAGGTAGGAGGAGCACCAGGAGAGAGCAGTATCCCGTAGACCAAAATTACCGAGAATGTGAAGCTGTTGATGATCAACAGTATCAAAGGCAGCAGAGAGATCAAGGAGAATTAGGATAGAGTAATGGGCGTGAGATTTAGCAGCAATTAAATCGTTGGATACTTTCGTCTCAGCTGTTTCGACAGAATGAACTGCGCGAAATCCAGATTGAAGGGGGTCAAGCAGAGAGTTGGTTTCGAGAAAGTCAGTCAGTCTGGTGTACACAACTCTCTCTCGAGGATCTTGGAGGCAAATGGCAGTAGCGAGATAGGGCGGTAGTTGGATGGGGAGTTGGGGTCGAGGCTGGCCTTTTTCAGAATTGGGGTTATGGTTGCATGTTTGAAGGGTGAGGGAAATGTGCCAGAGGAAAGAGAAAGATTGAAAATTTTAGTGAGGGGAAGAGCTAGAGAGGGAGACATAGTGCGGATGAGATATGAAGGAATAGGATCGAGGGAACAGGTGGTGGGGCAGGAGGACCGGAGCAGAGAAGAGACCTCTTCTGCTGTAGCAGGTGCGAATGAGTGTAGAATGGTGGAGGGAGTGGGGTTGGGTGATGTATTGGTAGAGGAAGGAGAGAAATTAGCGAATTCTTCTCTGATTGTAGAGATCTTCTCAGTGAAGTGAGTTTGGAGGTGTAGAGTGAGATAGCCGAGTTAGGGCAAGTTAGATTTGAGATGGGTAAAAGGAGAGTATTGAGTTTTTTTGAGAAATGCTGGAGATCAAGGCAGTTGAGGCTTCTGCGAGATTGGAGAGTTGAGGGTGGTGAAATTTGGATACGGGGTATGCTGATATCAAATGTTAGTAAATGGTGGTCAGACAAAGGAAATGGAACAGTGGAGAGATTAGAGGTGGTACAGAGATTCGTGAAGATGAGGTCAAGAGTGTTTCCTGCTGTATGAGTTGCTGAAGTAGACAACTGCGTGAGGCCAAAGGAGGAGGTTACAGAGAGCAGACGGGAGGCATCAGGGCAGTTGAGGTTGTTGATTGGGATGTTAAAGTCCCCAAGTATGAGGGAGGGAGTGCTAGAGGAGAGAAAGTGGGGTAGCCATGAAGACATGGATGCATGATGACCAGCTGTGAAAATTCCAAGTTCGAAAACTGGAATGCACACCTTCCAAATAAGGTCTTTTAGCCCCCAGAGAACCTGACACACCTATACATGGGTAGTATCACTGTACTTAGGAGATGTTGCTGAACACATATTGGGGTGTTCTTTGGCAGTAACCCTTAAAGTTCTCCGTACAAGTATTCTTAAATTGCTAGGTGTGTCAAAAAAATCGCCAATTATTATTATTTTTTTAAATTTGGCATAGATTGGTGGTAAAATGGTTGTATGAAAAGTCATAATACCCCAAGTTTAATACCTTAGGTTGTCTTCTTTAAAAAATATATACATGTGAAGGGTTATTTCGTATAGATATCAGTGTTACAATGTGACTTAATTTTGAGAAAATAAAAAATGGTTTGGAAATAGCAAAGTGCTACTTTTACCTATTGCCCTATAACTTTCCAAAAAAAGCTAAGAACATGTTAACAATGGGTATTTCTAAACTCAGGACAAACTTTAGAAACTATGCGTAACTAATTATGGGGGTCAAAGTGTGTTTTTTGTTTTTAAATTTTTTACCATATTTGATAACTTTTTTAGAGTACATTATATGATATGATAAAATAAATGGTATCTTTAGAAAGACTATTTAATGGTGACAAAAACTGTATATAATATGTGTGGGTACATAAATGAGTAAGAGGAAAATTACAGCTAAACACAAACACTGCAAACAAAAATGTAAAAACAGCCCTGGTCCCAAACAGTAAGAAATTTTTTTTTTTTTTTTTTTTATTCTTTATTTTTGCAAGTGCATAGATAATCACGTTTCAATACTGCCAGAGAATGTTACAGTAGTCGACAATTGGTGACATTTTGGTTTCAGCTTCAAGATACTTTGCACTTTTTTTTTTTTTAAATAAATTCAAGAGTAAGCATAGACAGGCATAACAGAATAAAATAACAATCAGGTTAAACAGTTTTGCTTGAGGTCATATTACTATAGTTAGTCATATATTGTAAGCGATCTGCACAATTTTAAGTGCTTAGTTACTCATGGGTTAACTTTAAGGTAAACATAATAGACAAACCAGTAAAACACAGGCTAAACCAACATGTCTGTATATCATCGGGTGCTTTGCGTTTTGGTCGAGCAGGCTAGCCAGTCATGGTTAATCTATAGCATGCATAAATATAAAATGTAGTATGGTTTAAAGATTAAATGAAAAAGCTTATTTGCTGGACTATATAGTCAAACATGCTTTTCTATATGGAAGACAAAGGGGACTGGTTTACGACTTGCTAGTAAACGACATGTTGCTGTAAAAAGGGTCTGCTGTGTCTAGAGCATGGTCTCAATACTTCGGCGATGGAGCATATGCTCGTTCTTTGGTTTTAGGTGCTCGCCTTGGGACCTTAAAAAAAAAAAAAAAAAATGTGTTGGGAGTATATCGGAGTCTGAAACTTGGAGGGTGCGCCAAAGTTCAACTCCCAGGTCGGGTAGCATCCGGGTAGAAGCAAGGGTCCCATGGTGTGAGTGTGGGCTATGGATGGAAGCCGGGTGATGAGGCAGTCCCCACGTACCTAGCCGATGCCCGTTCTGGGGGCAGTGGTTGCGGGTCTGGGGCAGCACAACAAAACAAATACATGCCGTGAGCATAACGGCCCCTGTGGTGTGAATTGTGATGGACCAAGTAAGGCTGAATTTTGCTAGGGGAACCGTGTAGGTGCTGGGTCACGTAAGGTGTTTTCTGGTAACGGGCTTGGCATGTCCCCTGGGGGTTGTGCTTAGTGAGGTTGTAGCTTAACTTGAGGTGGACAACTGAGCAGGGTGAAGAGGTATACAATAATTCGGGGTGTCCGCGGCTAGGGTGTGGACTAGTAGTGCAGGCAAAAACAAAACCTTATATTTGAACCTTATTTACACATGTCCCACAACAATGTGCGTGGTGCGGCTCGGTCAGCCCGCTAAGGGCACTCAGGTCGGGCCACTGTCCGTGAACTCCTGGGGACAAAAGTTTCAGAGTTAGCTGGGTTCCATACATGTGGTCTGGAGGGGATGTTTGGTTGCTGCAGAGTGTCTAGTGGGAGGCCCAAGGTAGCGAGTTGTGTCTTCGCCTCCTGCAGGTCCGCTATGAGGCATGTGTTGTCTCCCTGCAACACCTGGAGCTTGTGTGGTGAGCGCCATTGATATTTAATATTATGGACGCGGAGTAGGGTGGTGAAGGGTCTCATGGTTAAGCGCCAGGCCATAGTTCCTCTGGATAAATTGGAGTATAACGAGAGGGCCATGTCTTCGAAGGGGTATGGTGTGTTCCCCCTGATGGCGGTCATAACCGCTGCTTTGTCCTGCCGCTTTTGAAACTTAACAATTCCGTCCCTGGGTGCCGCCGGAGGAGCCGTTGTTGGTTTGGGGATTCTGAATATGCCATCTAGGCATACCCCTTTAGCTTGCTTCGGTTGGAGTATGTTGCCTATGAGGCGCCTCATGAGGTGAGGGAGTTCTGAATCCGGGACTGACTCTGCTATGCCTCGAATCTTTATATTTTGGGCCCTGCGCGAGTCTTCCAGTACCGCCATTTTCTGTTCCACTCTCAGGTGCTGCTGTTGCAGCGTTTTTACCTCCTGCTGGAGCCTGGCTACAGTCCTCGAGTTGCTGAGGGAATCTTGTTCCACGGCTCCCATGCGGTTTGTTAGGCCCTGTATGTCTTTCCTCATGTCGGCTACATCCGCTTGGATGTTCCGGCGGAGCTCTGCCAGCAGCTCTCTCATTTCGGCCTTTGTGACCGGGGCCGTGTCCGGCTGCGTTCTCGGTTGCACTACCCCTTGTGGTACGGGTAAGTGTGTGGCTTCATGCTCCGAGAGTTGTTCATCGGAGTCGTTGAAGTCGTCAAGGTAGGCGTCCATGTTAGGTTCCGAGGTTCCATGTGCTCGCCGCCATAGGTCCCCTAAGCTGGTGCCCGGCTGGGGCATTTCTTGTTTTGGCTTTTTGCTTTTTCTGCCCATTGGTAGTCCACTGTAGTGGGGCAGTCTTTTGAGGTTGCTTTTGAGGGGGTAAAATAGTTTTTTCTTGCTTTTTCTCCGTTAGATCTCGGAGCTCTCAGGAGATGCGACCCCAGTAAGAAAATTTAAAAGTGGTCTAGTCACTAAGGAGTTATAGGAACATATATAGGGTCAAGAACACAAAATTAAAAATCACACCTAGCCCCCCCTTGCCACCCTAAATATAGTAAACTCTTACTTGTATTCAAGTCTGCAGCTGCTGCCTCGGCCCCTGACCTGCCTGCATGCCTGACATCATCAGAAGTGATTATGTGTGCCAATCACAATGCTTTCCCATACGATTGGCTGAGACTATCAAGAAGGCAGAGCCAGCACAAGTCAAACACAGCCCTGGCAAATTAGCATCTCCTCATAGAGATGCATTGCATACACTTTTCTCTGAAAAGACAGTATTTACTGCAATAAGCATGAAGGGAATGATTCTACTCACCAGAACAAGTAAAATAAGCTGTAGTTTTTCTAGTGACTATAGTGTCTTGTTTAATGATTTTAAGATGTATGGGAGTTAAAATCAAAAAGGGCCACACTTGAATCTGCTCTAATGGGGCCTTCTGCTATCTTTGAGGCAAGCTGGAAGACCTCGGACCACAAAACGGTTATTGAAGAGCACTACCAAAAGTAGAATAGAGAGAAATATGTTCCACTAAACCTGAAACTTCTTCAGCATGTTCCAGGTAAAAAGGGTAAGGTTACAGTTTTAACCTACAAACATCTCATTTCTAAATTTCAAGAATTTAACATGCAGTCATAGCCAGTTCCTGTATCCAATCTTAAACATTTGGTAGCCATCTGAATATGCCAGAGAATCACGTGGTGTCCATAAAAAATAGTCTACTAAAAAGTTCATATTCTGACAAGAAACCTATAAACTTTAATACTTTCAATAGTTGTGTTATGCTCAAGATCTGTCTTCCATATGGAATTTCATTGCACATATTACTGACAGTTAAAAACAACCACTTACCATTACTAGTTATACCCTCAGAAAATAGCATGGGTAAAATAAATTCTATTTGGTCCATTGTAATGAGTTTCAGTGCATTTTACAAAATATTGAAAAAAAACTGCACATAAGTAAACCGGAATGATAGAAAGTACAGAGTAAAATTTCCTCCTAATTCTATGACCCCTTTACATGTCCCATTAAGCATAAAAATGAAAGGTAAATAAGCTTTAAATCCTCACAAAGCATGTGCGAACTGTCTAGCTAACAAGACATGGCCCTTTCAGGGCTGCAGCAGAATACAATACTGCAGATATCAAAGGAACACTATAGCTGTCTACTGCAGATATTCAAGGAACAATATAGCATTATGAATGTAAATGTGAATTCCTAACGCTATAGTGTCCTAGTAACTATTTAGGTTGATCAGTCAACCCCCACGCCATGCTGCTCTGTATGCGTCTGGCCCGTCTCCCATCAAGATTGATGATCTCAACTAATCCAATGTTTTCTCATAGGGACGCATTGTGAGGCTAATACAAATGTGTGGCATAACGCCACTCTGCAGCAATCAGTCTCTATGAGTGCTCATCTAATTCTGCGCAAGTACCTCTGGTGGCTTAAATATGGCATCCACTAGAGGCAATAAACTCTGCAATGTAAACATTGACGTCCCTTTAATAAAATTTAAATAGCTGTGCACAATCACCAACACTGCTGGTCTCCCCCAGATCCCCTGTACACACAGAGGAAATCTGTGACTGGTTCTCAGTAACATAAAAAATGAGTTGGAGTAGAGGGCCTGTTTTTGACCCCTCCCCACTCTGCTTAATAGGGCTCTCTAAAAACTCTCTGTAAAAATGATTTAGGGATATAGCCACTGTTTTACTGGAGACATCCTGGGAGATCAAAAATGCAATCTAATGTATGGTTAAGTGTGCCGTTAGTGTGGTTCACCAGATACTGATTTTCTTCTTAGATATTGGTGTTGGTCTGTTTAATTGTAAAACCACAGAAAAAATGCAAATACCACAGAAAGAAAATGGATGCCACTAGAACAGGCCGCCTTAAATCCATCTTAAAATACCACAGAAAGAAAATGGATGCCACTAGAACAGGCCGCCTTAAATCCATCTCGTAATCCGCAAAACATAATTTTGCAGCGTCCCAATAAATATCGTTTATAAAAGAAAAGCATTTTAAAACATAAAATCCTCAACTAATATAACTCACCAGAACTAAAAAAAAGTGTTGAAAATATAATTTGTTTTTTATCACACTCCAGTAACTAGTACATGTTTTACTGCAACTAATATAAAAGTCACTATTTTCCGTTTATCTATCACTGACTACTAAATATGCATGTAGAAGAACATAAACTCTAGGTGTAAAGATATATGCACCACTGGAAATACTTTGCTGTCTTTTCCATGGTATATAGTAGCAATTGATACAAAGTAAAAACAATCTCTAAAATACATAATTTTATTGAAGACTATGTTTAAAATTGTTGTTTTCTAAATAGTTCTGCATTTTAAATTTTGACAAAAAATTTAAATAATAAAACAAAGAAAATTAATTAAGTAATTTATGTAAGTTGAATAATTTTTAAAGTGCTGTAAAGTTGGGTGGAATGTAAAATAAAATATTGTCTGTAATACAGTGTACAGGAAATCAAAGAGTTTACTGAGTGCTGAGATTTTATTTATATCCCACTGTGAACATGTTTTATACTGTGCAAGGCACTGTCTTGCTTTTTGAATCTAATTTGGATTTGTGTGTGTATAAATAACACCTCGGTACTTTTCTTATCTCAATGTGAACTTCATTGTTGTAGATACTGTTGTAAATATATTAACTAATTCCTAAAAATAGTTAAAGGGACACAATAGGCACCCAGACGACTTCATCTCGTTGAAGTGGTCTGGGTGAAGTGTCCCTGTCCCCTTAAACCTGCAATGTGAAACGCCTCCTTCTCCGTAAAAGAGTTTAACTTTGTGAAATGATGTTGAACATGCTTTGCATGAGGATGTCTAACGTCTTTGAATTATCCATAAAAAAGCATTGATTTAATGCTTTCCAATGTGGAAGCTTTAATGTTCGCAAGGTGCTTGCTGCACATGCATTTGTTTCCACCATCGGCTTGACGTCGCAAAAGGAGGAGACCTAGCCATCGCCAAGGGAGACTTGGGGCTGGAAAGAGGGGAGTTAACAAAGGATTTTTAACCTGGGTTAGACCTAAAGAACGAGGGACAAGGACATTAGCGTTATAGTGTTATTATCTCATCTATCAAATGCGCAACAGAAACAATTGGATCGGTCAGGGTCATTATAGTGTCGTCAGCATACATACACAACTTCAGTTCTTTAGAGGCTGCTGGAAACCCCTTAATACCAGGATTTGCCCTTATTCTTATTGCTAGAGACTCCATAGATAGTATATATAGCATTGGTGAAAGAGGGTAACATTGGTTGGTACCATTACCTAACAGAAAACAATCGGAACATAGATCTATTCCCACCACCCTAGCCATTGGTTCTTGATATATAGTTTTAATTGCTGCCTCCATCAAAGGCCCCTGTCAGAGGCCTTTTCTGCATCCAATGACAGGGTTAGAATGGGATTCCCTGATCTCTCTCCCCAATCCAATATATTAATCAGATGTCTTGAATTAGTGCTTGACTGTGTAGTGGGAACACAACCAATCTGGTCTTCATGAACCAAGCTAGGAAGAAGTATTTTTTTCCTGTCTGCCAAAATTGCTGAAAACAGCTTAGAATCTACATTTATTAGGGAGATCGGATGGTAATTCTCAAGTTCTTATCCTTTTTTAAGATTAGTAATATATTAGCATATAACATTTCATTTGGTCCGGAACCCTTTTCCACAATCTCATTAAAAGCATTTACTAGATGTGCCGATAATATATCCCTATAAACCTTATAAAATCTATTAGCCAGACCTTCTGGGCCAGGGGTTTTAAAATGTTCACATTTTTCAATGACCTGTTTAAATTCTGCTTTAGAAAGAGGAACATTCATGATGTTGTTTTGTTCCTGTGTTTATTTTAGGAAATTCTATGTCCCTTAAATATTTGGATATTTGATGTCCCTCGGGTTGTTTTGGTTTATTATATAGCTCTTCATAGTAGGTTTGAAAAGTGTAGGCTATAGTTTCTGGGGTTTTGTATATTGTCTGATCTTTTTTGATGCATGTTATCCTGTTTTCCCCTCCTTTCCTTTTAAGCTTATTATTTAACCATTTTGTTATTTTGTTGTTCTCATGGTAACAATTAATTTTCATTTTCTCTAAATTTTTATTAATTTGTTCCATTTCTATTTAGTTAATTTTATCTTTAATATCATTTAATTGTTTTATCTTTTCACTAGTTAAATGTTTTTTTATTATTTTTAGATAACTTATAATGTTCTATATATAGCTCTTCCCTCGAGGCTCCTTTTTTTCTTTGAATTTTACTTTTACGTTTTATCAAATATCCTTTTACTAGAGCTTTAAAAGCACACCAGATCATTGCATAAGACATTCCTTCAGTTTTATTTTCTTTGACATACAGTTCAAGTAAGTTTCTAATATATTTTTGATCTTCCATTCTGGAAAGAATATTATCATCTAGACGCCAAGTATTAAAAGGTTTATATTTTTTTAATCTTTTATATCAAACAAATTATAGCCATGATCCGCCCATGGATTCTCCTTTGTTATAATTTTCTGGATTTGTTCTACCAAACTATTCTCTCCCAAAACCAGATAAGTTCTAGATAATGAATGGTGTACTCTAGAACGATGTGTAAATTTGTTTTCTTTTACGTGATAGACTCGCCATATATCCAACAAGTTATTTTCTTTTACATTTCTTAGAATGTTGGATTTTTTCTTTAATTGGTTACTTAAGTTTCTGTTATCTTTAGTTTTTGTTTTTTTAATCTAATACCGTATCCAGGACACAATTAAAGTCCTTTGTAATAACTAACATTCCCATTTTAACTTTTACTACTCTATCCATTATCTTTTTTAGATACTTTGTTGGTGATACATTTGGCAGATAGAGGTTTACAAAAGTGTATTTTACAGAGTCTATCTTACAAACTAGGATTTGATATCTTCCTTCGTTATCTACCTCTGTGTATATTATCTCTTTATTAAGCCATTTTGAGAAGATTATAGCAACTCCTCTCTTTTTTTTTTTCCCCTCTCAAGAGATGCTTGTATAACTTCTTCGTAAATCTCATATCTCCATCTAATTTTCTCTTCCCTTTTCCAATGAGTCTCTTGTATCATGGCTATATCTATCCGTTCCTTTCTGAGTAATTCATATAGAAGTTTCTTTTTAAATGGGGTATTCAAACCTTGTATATTTATAGAGATACATTTCAGAATTCTATCTTTCTCATTTACTCCGTATCTCATTCTCAGCTCTCCTCACAGGATCAACACAAAAAACTTCTACACAACACAAAAGTTCCCCTAAAAAAAGGGAAAACCACATACATTCTCACTTACAAATGGAGGGCCTCCATCCCCCTCTTAATGTATTCCTTGACATTATTCCCTATAATGTCAAGAGCTGAGATCTACTAAGTGATCTCCAAGCAAGGGTATTTTAAGAGGTTGACCTGAGCCAGCGACTTCCATAATAAATATTAATTAATCCCTTGTTGACACTTCTGGCCATTAAAGCATATGTAAGAACTGTAGCTAAGGATATAGAGTTTTAGACACTGAATGCCAACCTAGAGAGGAGCATAAAGAAAGGGCTTACCACTTAAATAAAATTATACTTTTTCTTTAAAATAAACGCACCCATTTTGACGAAAGATTATCGTTTATCTAACACTATTATATATTACCCGTAAAATTGTGTGCTTATTATCTTTTGTTTATATATAATTTGCTCTCTCGTCTCACCCCCTTTGAATGTCATCCCCCCCTTTTTCTCGCTTTCCTTTCCATATCTCATGTAAACTAAAAGTGCTATATATTTTGTGGTCACTCTTTTTTGTGTAAACATGTGCCTTTTTCTTTTCCCTTTATATAATTCTATATAAAAGATATATATAATTCTATAATTCTGTTTTTCTTTCCCCCTTTCTCTATTTCTTTTCCTTTCTTTATATCTGTGCTGATCACACTCTATATTGTGTAATTCACTTATATTCCCAATTTATATTTTATATATGTAAAAAAAGGCCTTTATCACAGTCCTCTGTGTTTCTTCCCCGTTCTCTTGTGACACTTATTTCTGTGACTTGCTCCGTATTACTTTGTGTCCTGTGCAAACAAAAAAATTTAAAAATTAAAAAGAAAATTAAAGTTTCTTTCTCTTTCCTTTCCCTTCTCTTCATGTATCTCTAAATGGCACCCTATTCGCTTTTTAATCTTTTCATTTTATTTGTTCTTTTGTCCATTCCTCCAATTCCCTTGCCTCCGCGAACATTTTCTTTGTGTCTTTCCAGAATACTGTTATTGTTCTGTTAGGCCCCCAGCAGTATTTTATATTATGTTGTTTAAGTGGCATCAGGGCTCGGGCAAATTTTTTCCTCTTGATATATTGTGATGTTTTTAAATCTTTCTTCTATTATCTTCTTAGTTCTACTTGCTTGGATTATTTGCTGTTTTGTTTGTAAAGAGAATAAGGAGACCACGATATCTCTCTGGCATGAATCCAGGTTATTTTGCGATTTTCTCACCCGATATGTATTTTCAATCACCACTTCTTGATTTTGTAGGTTGATATTTAGTGCTGCAAACAATTCCAATAAAAAATATTTTATTTTCTCATGGGTAATGTCCTCAGATATATATTTTAGTCTGATATTTTTTATTCTTTGTCTGTCCTCCATTTGATTTAATCTGTGTTCTAAGTTATTGATATCCATCTTCATTCTTTATGCTCATCAATTGCTGCTTTATACTGGAAATCTATTTTTTCATATTTTTCTTACATTTTAATTAGTTTCATACCAATCTCTTCTTTTTGTTGTTTTAATTGACATGTACTATTACTTATTTCCTTTTTGAATGTTTCTGTTTGATTTTCTAGATTTATTTGACTAAATTTTTGTAAATTAGACAAAGAGTTTATTCTGTCCTCCATATGAGATTCTTCTGAAAGTGAATTATCAACTCCTTGTTTATTTTGGGGAGAGAAAACGGCAGACCTGTGTTTATCTTGTTTGCTATCCTTTTTTGATAAATTTTTCTTTGGAATCTTTGCAGTAGCTATTTTCACTACTTCGTTCACCAGCCCCCCTCCCTTTTTCCCCCCCTCCCCTTTTTTCCCCCCACTTTCCTTTCTCTTTTCTTTCTCCTTTCCTTTTCTTTTCCTTTTTTATTCCCTTTTTACTTCACGTTCTCCTTTCTAGTTAATATAAACTAATGTAGTTCCAAACTTAGGCTTCTGCAGTTGTCATTATCCTTAGGTTTTTGTTTTAACTTAGGTGTAGATTTTTAATTTATCACAATTTTTATAGTAAAGTTTGCAACTGTCTTTCCCTATAGGTATTCCACATATATAATTAAGCAAATTTTGAACCTTTTACTTTCTCTCCATTTATATACAGATTATTTATATACTTCGTTTATATACAGATGAAGTTTGTGGGTATTATATATTTTCAAATTACATCACTAGTATTTCTTTGTAGAATCCCATCACCATTTTTTTACTCATATGGGTTTTTTGATTATACTTGCTTTTGGCGTTTTCTGTTCTTTTTAGAACACAGGATGGTTTCCAGTACTGCTGAGGATTTCTTTTTTCCAGTATTACATCTTATTTTCTCTGGTTATATATATTCTGTCCCTCTGCCTTAGAGACTTTCAAGTGGAGACCTATAACCTTCTATCTCCTATTATCCTGCTGCAAGAGTTCTTGTTACGGACTTATAGCTTTCGTCTCCTTAATCCCCTCTGCTCGTAGGCACTACCTCGTGGCTGCTTTTCGTCTGTTGGTCAGTCAGCCCCCTAAACCCCGCCTCCTGGTGCGTGAATGTGTCACGTCATCCCGTCCTCTTCTAAGCCTTAATATTTTGTATTTCAATTGCTTGTTGTCAGATGTTCCCATTCTGTAATTGAAACCTTCAGTGTTATCCCTTAGGAGGACTAGTTGGTAGCGTGCTCCTGTTGATCAGATTGTGTATTGACTGAACATATTCGGTTCCTATAGGCTAGTCTGCAAAGATTAGATGCAGGACATTAGTACATACAAAATAACACAATAGTTTAGTGACACTTTTTCTTTCAAAAAATTTTAGAGCGTTTTTCCTTTAAACGCGAAAAACTGAAAGCTAATTAAAAATACTGAAATAGTTATTCTCTCTGCTGTAAGATTTGCATCCTAAGCAATATGTAGCCTGTGGCTTCTGTAAACCATTATAGCATACGGGTAAGTTTGGATTAAACTGAGACTCACACTGTGTTATATTGTCATTGCTACATTTTAGAATTTTAACAGTAAAAACCTAATAACGCATGATAGCTTTCCATTGCAGAGTTATATCCTTTTATATATTTGTTCTGGTCCAGGCAACTAGAGGAGAGGCTGAGTGTTCATATAAAGTTTGAGCTGAACCAGGAAACACGCTGGCTCCCAGACTGGATGTGCGATGTATTTTATTTCAATTTGCGTATAAAGAGGAGAAATAGCCATGAAGAAATAATAGAACTGAGAACATTTACAGCAGAGGTTCTCTTAAACCATGTACATTCTTGTGCAATAAACGAAACCCGCAGGAAATAGTTTCCATTATATTCTTTCTGTTGTTTTTCATTTTCTTCTCACGTACTCCTTTGCTGTTTAATTTTATTTTCAGAATTTGTTTTATGAACGCTGTCCTTGTGTTGTGAACATACAACTCCCAATACGCGTTTATTGAGAACCATAGGCGTAATACATTGCCAGGCATAAGTATTAACCCCCTGTAACATTTTCACATTTTGTAGTAGAATTAAAATGGCACACTGCTCGGCCTTTAACCCGAGTATGGCCTTTAATACCCTGATGGTGTACGTGATCAGGGGGTATAATGCTCAAATCTCTTCTTCCTGACTGTGAGAACATTTACATGCCATATTGCCTCTGCGGAATATAATTACTAGTTGTTCCCTTGCAGGCTTGAATTGCTTGATGACAAGAGAACTGTCAAAATATTATTTCTGGTAAAACACTTTCTAAATAAACATGAGCATGTACATCAACAATAACTTTTTATTTATTTTTTTAACTTATGTATTCAAAACTTAAGACAAATTTCATAAAGTGTCTAAAATTTAAATACAAATATAGGCAGCAAAATTCCAAGGGGAAGGGAAAGTTTATAATGAAACAAAAGAGAAAGGCAAATGTGATGCGGAACCACTTGCTGTCTGAAAGCCATTCTAATAAAAAAAGAAGGATGTCGATCCGTGAGTGCGAAGTGCAGTGTGAAAACACCTCTCATACTGCAGTAGAGAGAAAAAAAAAAAAAAACGGGAAAGATATGGGAAGGGGCAGGAAGGGTAGATTGGGAAGGAGGACAAAAGGAGAGGGTAGAAGAGAAGCAAAATTAAAGATTGAAGAGCGGAGGTATTCAGAAAGTAAGAAAAAAGAGAAGTAAGGGGCTTATTCAGAGGATGTATATAGAATCCAATGAGTCCATGTGTTATAACCTGTTTTTAAAGGGACACTATAGGTCCCTCGGGTTTTAACCCTACAAATTTAAACATCAGAGAAACTGCTATGTTTACATTTGGGGTTAATCCAGCCTCTAGTGGCTGTCTTTCGGACAGCCACTAGAGGCGCATCTGCGACGCTGGAGGTGAATTTTGCGTCCATAGGAAAGCATTGACGGGGGAGAAGAGATCACCAGCGCCGAGGGAGCCCGGCGCTGGATTAAGGTAAGTAACTGAAGGGGTTTTAGTGATCCTTTAAGTGTTCCAACCTTGAAGGGGATTCTAATCACAATCCTAGCAAACAATGATTCACGTTTATATAACAGTTTGTTTCATGTTTTTACAGTCTGGAATATAGTGGGAATGTGTTAATATTTGTTATGTTTTATCATGAAAGTAGCTGTAAATTCTGTTTTATCTCTTGTATATAGTAATACAAGTTTTATTTTGTTAGTGATCTTAGCATTACCATATGTTTTGTTATTAGACAACAATTCACTTCAGTACCATGACCATGGAATAGTCTCATTGATTTTAAAAATATTTATATATATATATATATATATATATATATATATATATGTAATTTAATTTTACATCCGCCAAAAAACCAGTTAGTAACGACTGTGGACATACCTGGTACATCATTTAGTAAATCGACACTTACCTGATCACTGGCGATCGCGATCCTTGGGTCTGCCAGGAAGCTCAGGAAGACCCCCACTGCCAGATCCGGCCCTCCCAGGCCATGGGAGTCCCACGCCCAATGGGCTCTTAATCCAGACCTGATTATAAACTAAACTTTGGATTTTGTCTGCATGGCCAAATTCTGTGAAAATTACCAAATTCCAGCCACAATGGCAATTCTCATTAATAAAGTCAAATTCAGTTGGACCAAGCAAATCTGCAACAATTGCCAGGAAGCATTTGGTATACATATTAAAGTCAGGGCTTTTGCATCCAAACCTTATGCAAAGTATAGGATTAGGCAGATGCACTGATATAATCAAAATTCAGAACCCGAATACATTCAGCAGGATCCACATTTGCAAATTGTCATTCACTTGCTTTTTGGCAACTGAATATATAGTTTAAATGCTATAATTAATAGTAAAAAATGCCCTCTGCAATGCAAGGGTTAATTTTGTGGTAGCTAGCCAGTCGCCTCATTAATTATATATATTTTTAATATAGGCTTATGAAAGGGCCTATGGGGGGTCAATAAAACCCCCTTATGACTATATGGGAAGTTTGAAACCTCCCTATGCCCCTATGTGACAGGTATGGTGGGGGGGACACTAGGCTCCACCCCTTTCTTAAATTAATTAGCGCTTGCATCTGTCGCTAATAGTTCCCACCCCATGGGTGGGGGCGAGTATATCCTATGTCCACTACCACATAAAAGAAAAACGTTAGAATACAATTCCCCTAATTTTCTTTTATGAAACAGCCTCCACCAGTTCAACCCCTGTTATTTAATTTAAAGTATCAGGTGGGGGCAAATGGAGTTATCTGTGCACCTTACCCCAGTTATTTTGCATGCCTTCTCTCCATGAGATGGAACCTTTCTATCAACTGGCCAGCAATGGCAGTCGATAGTTTTACCGCATTCAGAAAAGGCAATTCAGACTTTAGTGAATAATCCGCTTATTCTATAATTAGTTTCACTTATTTGTTTTTCTTTTTGGATTAATTTAATTATTTCATTATTTCAGGTCTTACAGGAAAAATACTAAACGAAATCCTGAGTGCAGGTTTTGATATCTCCGCAATGCAAATGGTAAGTTTATAGAAAAATCATGTTTAAATAATGCATTTAGGATTAAGTATAGAAAAAACCTTGCTTATTACTATTGCATATATTAAAATAATATTGTTGCTTTATGTTTGCTGGAAAAAGCACTGAGAAGTTTGCACTTAGTAATTTAAAGGAACACTCTAACTTTAAGAATACAAACACGTATTCTTACTGTTAGTGTGTTCCTTTCTATTTAGATTCAGGGCCACCCTTATTTGAGTAAAATAAATAGTTATTAGTACCCTTCAGTACCTGGGCACACCAGCCTTTTGCGGCTGCCGCTTCTCCCCGGCAGAGATCATTATGATCTCAGCCAATTCAATGATTCTCTGTAAGGACCTTATTTGGAGGGTGCGCATTCCAGTTTTCCAACTTGGAATTTTCACAGCTGGTCATTATGCACGCATGTCCTGTTTGGGCCATTTTTGAAGCCGACCAATGTAATTTACGCCCATCAAACCATATATTTTTTAAAGGTAGACACCCTTGGGCAGGGGTTCCCAATGAATTTTTCCTGTGGATCGCTTCCAGCGCTCTAATTCCCCGCGGACGTACCTAAAAGGACCATTTTTTGTCGGATGTACCTGATACGTCTGCAGTCGGGAAGGGGTTAAGTGTCCCTTTAACAATTTCCTTGTGTTTCCAGTTTGAATAAATGTAAAATTGAAATAGAACATACTGTGAGAGTAGCATACGTGGAAAAATTGAGGAAAATGTCCTAGCTTAATTAACTTTCAATAACAGGCTTTAAGTGGCACTGTCACACCAGACTTACCTTTTTCCTATTGTTTCCTCTTCCCTTTCTCTCTCAGAATCTGTTCTTTTTTTCTTTATTTCTTATCTAGTTTTCTTTAAAACATAAGATAAAGTAGGAACTACTTTGTCTTATGTATTTTCCTATGCTTAACTGTTACCAAAGGAGGAGCTTAGGTCAGCTCCATTTCCTGTGTCAAGGAGAAGGGTGAGTACTTTCTCTGACACAGGAAATGGAGCTGAATTAAGCCCCTCCTTGGGTCAGAGAAAGTCATGCATAGGAAAAACACACGAGGGACTACTTTGTCCTATGTTTTAAATAAAGAAAGAAAAGAAGAACAGTTTATGACAAAGGAAGAGACGAGTAAGCAATAGGAGAAAGGTAAGTTGAATGTGCCGCTTTAAGAGGGGTGTCTTTCCCACCCCTGGAGTTTCCATATTTGCAGGGATCTTCCATTCCTTTAACTATTCATAATGAAACTCTGGGCATATATACCCTTAAGTTTCCTTCTTTTGCAGTCCCTGTCTGGGGACTTCAGTTTTATTCCAGTTCGCTATTTAATTGCACCATGTGCGTACTGGATCACAGTTTAAAGACTAGAACAGTAAACCCAAGGCACACCAAAATTTGTACATAGAAAAAGTTTATTCATGTATTAAAGTAATATGACCAGTAGCTTCAGCAGAAAAAAAGTGCATACAACAGTGCATAATATAATACACAACCAATAGTACCAAAACCAATAAGAGTAGCAATAACGTGCTAATTTATCTACACACACCCATAAAAAATGGTATACTAACCAGGAGCAGGAGAACTGAAAACCCAGACGTTTTGGCCTTAAGCCTTCCTCTGGGGGACCTCTCCAGTGTGGGAATGGATTTTTCCCTTAAGGGCACTCATTACCTTCTATGCCACTTTAAGTGTCACCCACTTTCAGTTTGAGCGTTTCTTATAATTGTATATGCAAACACAGTTTAAAGAATACCAGGATATTTATAAAAAAATACATTACTACTTAAACTTCTGGAGAAATTTTATTTTTTTGTTCCCTGTTGAATAATTTAAAATATTGATTTAAAATATAAATATTTTATTTGAAAAGACGAAGTACCAGTGTTAGAATATGTCACCATATTTAATCACATCTTAACTTGACTGTATTTCAGTTTACTATGGAAAAGGCCAATGCTGAAGAATTTTTTGAAATTTACAAAGGAGTTGTAGCTGAATATAATGTAAGTAGCTCTTCGTTCTTATTTATCATTTATTTCTATAATGTGAATTGTTTAGGGATATCTATCTGATTATCCAATAACTGAGGTATGTGTGCAGATCTGCAACACCCATTCATCCTTAGAAAGCATCAAGCTCGGGGAGCTGAAGGTTGGTCTAAACGGATTCTACAGGCTCTGTGCTGGTACAGCCACTGCTCCCAAATGTCCTCAGGCCTGAAGCAAAGTATACCACGCAGGGACTTTGCTAAGCCTTTACATAGTATCGGCTGAGTGGAGAATGGGATTTTATTTCTGGCATCATGTCTGACCATCACATCTAATTCAAGCACCTGCTGAGTACCTGTTTTCTTCCTTTTAAACTTTTACATTTTATGTTCTCTATGTTCTGCTCAACTGACTTGTCATAATACATAATTAAGACAGGGATTGTTATGCCATATAATTATAATCAGCTGCCCTTTAATTAATTAGACACCTGAGATGTGCAGACTTACAGAGTTTTTGATGGGGGGACTGGCGTCACCCACCTTGGCATCTCACTGCTCTCAAGTTAGTTGGAACACCCTCCAGTCACGCAGTGTTATACTGCTTGTATTTTATTTAAAAAAAAAATTATTTCATAGATAGATCTTATGGGAATCCCTCGCATGTCTCTACTCCATTCAATAAACTCGTTATATTAATGAAAAGCCACTCAGATCTACTTACAGTATAACCAACTCATGTCATGTATTTTGTTTATAATGATCTTCTCATTCTCTTAAAAATGTGCCATTGTCTCCATGCCATGCTTAAGTTGTCCTCTGTTTTGACATTAACATGCTTGTGTCTGCTTTTGTGGCATCACAAGCCACTCTGTAATAAAGTGCACAAGAAAAATAAAGAATGATACTAAAAAAAAAAAAAGTTACTTTATTAAAATGGGATACAGTATATAAAATGGATTTGATATACACACATTCTCACTGATACTGACACACACACTCACACTCACTGACACACATTATTACAAAATACAGATTAGCGACCACTTTTAAAAAGAGCTTTGCATTTTATAAAAGCAATGAAGCTGGCGGGTGGGGTGCTCAACCCAAAAGGAATCTTGTCTAGATTCCAAACATACATAGTAAACAAAAACAAAAAAAGGGAATTGGGGACATACACAGAACATGCATTTCTCAGCAATGGTGCTTCAGTAGAGACCAAATTACAGATTAAACAAACAGTGCACATATAAAAATACAGTTTATAAGTTTTATAAGGCTTCTTAACCACCTGGCACCCTGATCGATGCTTCCTAGTGCTCACCGAGTACTCCAAGCACTCCACCAGACACCATAACCACTGTAAACCCCACAGCCAGTGTTACAGCTTGGTTGAGATCTTGCTGTCCCCTACCCACCCTGGACCCAGTGCGTGGACCTCTCCCAATCTAGAGAGTAAACCAGGATAGCTCTTACAAGAGCTAGTGATTATAATCCAAGGGAGTATAATGAGTATAACAATCCCCAGAGTGAATATAGATGTTCCCTCCACACATGAAACAAGGATCTATGTTGAGTCTTTTAATGGTAGCCAACTGGCCTTATTTGCAGGTCCCCATGCAAGGGGTTTACTCTAACATATTTCAGGGGCATTCCCAACTGGACCTGAGAGTGGATTATGACAAAGCACACACTTTACTTAAATTGGCTCTCAGGTCCAGGACACTCCCACACAAAACAAGGGTAATCCCTCCCCTGTGCCTGAGAAATAATTGAGTCAGGAACTGTACTAAACTCAATTATCTCCAGGTACAGAAAACATAAATTTTAACAACCTCCCGAAAGTACCCCTAAAACACATGGAACCCCCACAAAAGTCACATTCCCTGATAGCCCAGATCTGGGAGGCCAACATATTTAAAAATCACCCAGATCAGTTCAGGGGTTTGTGATTTCTATTAAGGCCATAATTTGCTGTACCGCACACAAGGTTAGTGCCCAAAAGAGTTTCATGAAATCAGACTGTGCGGTCGGTCTCTTTCGGGAGTTCACATTACAACAGAAATACAAAGGCAACCAATTTGTATGTACACTTAGTCTGTCTCTCTTGTTTGGGAGTGTGTTTCCACCGAGCGCCACTCTTCTCAAGTGATTCCAGCTGAACGTATGAAGAGATGGAAGTTCCAGCAGTGTTTGCGCCATCGAGTGTCCGATTATAGTTCCATGCACTCGACGGCCAAACACCACTGTATGTGTTTGTGGCTAAAGTTGGCCGCCGCCACATGTTCATCCATACGAACGGCGGCCACCCAGCAGACCATTTAGAATGTAGCGGTTAGAACTTGTTAACGAGGTCAATATTTTTAGAGGTGTCACCCTAAGTGGAAATTTTGGAGCCAGTTATCTAACAGGCTCAAAATAAGGTGAGCAGGTAATTTTTAACTAAGTATATACTGATTTGTTAAATCCCAGCCACACCTAGATTGTTTTTCTTCTGTTTAATCTCCATATCCTTGCTGGGAGAAAATATTTTGTTCACACGGAAGAAGGTATTTGGTGCCACCTAAAAGGCCCAGACACTCCTTTTGTTTAGAACCCATATCGAAAAAGGCTCTAAAAATGGTACAATATTGCACTATTATATATATATTTCTATTTTTACATGTGGAAAATCCCCTATATATACCATGGGGTAAGTGTAAATATATTATTTGAAGCGCTGCACTTCTGGACTCTGTGTGCTAGGTGGTGGGGTTGATCACCTAAACACAGAGTTTGTTTTCTCTGTATTCTCGGTTTCTGTGGAGTTTTGAGATATCCAGTGTTTAACTGCTGCTGATATCACAATTCAGATTATAATTTCTTTTAAGCGCCTGATATACACTGATATGACTGCTTTTTCCGTTTTCGGAGTCAGCAATGCTGTCAGGAGCCGCCTGGTGAAGTTTGGCTGTTCAGCCTCTAGGATACTCTAGGCGACACCCCTGACTTTCAGCCTTTTCTGGCAGCTCTTGTCCTTTTGCGTGGCACATCTTTTTTCATTAATAGGATTTTGCTGCTGCAGATCTTTAACCGCTTGTTGTAGCTCTTTAATCTGGTGTGTGTGGGTGCTGGATGTGTCTTCCACAGCCCCGAGCTGTTCATTTAAGCTCCGCAGATCTTCCTGTATCGTGGCCACGTTGGCCGAGATTTTTTTTGTGGTGGTCTGCCATGAGCTCACTAATGGCCTCCATAGTTACCAGTGTGGGGGCTATCGCGGGTGGCGGGGGCTGCATTCGGGCCGGTGGTGACAACGTCGCTGCAGATAAGTATTCCCCCTCTGCTTTATCTGATGTCCCGTCGTAGAAGTCTGAGCAGCCACCGTGGAGGGATACCATCTTGGGTCCAGGGGCACCTTGGGCCTGCCACCATAACTCACCGATGTTCATGCCCAACCAGGGATTATCAGTCTTTTGTTTTTCGAGTCTTGGGGTCTCCCTGGGATGTAATTGGCTTGTCTCAGAGTGTTGATACCGGGTAATTATCGCTGTTATAGCCTGGAGCTCTGAGGCCATGCGACCGTCTACTTCGGTAGCCTCCGCACTCAAAGCCTTAATATTTTTAGATTACATTGTCTCATGAATATAACCGTACCCCATTTCCTGTTTTTTCAGGTTTTTTTTGGTAAATCACATGGCAATATGTTATATAATATAATATATTAGATGCCCTTTTCAACTTGTAATATTGACAAAGTGATTTTCTAGGCCTATGTCACCTTTGAGAGAACATAGCACACCAGAAGGAAAGAAAATTGACCTCATGATGGCATACCATTTTACCAAGTATTATCAATGTAGTATTTTGAGTTGTTTGGTGTAGCCACTTTATAATGACTGGGCTTAACGTAAACAGGGACAGGTTAAGGTCAGAAAGTTCCAGACGTCAGAGTATTCGGCATAACAAGCCAATAAGTTGGAACATGCAGCTAACAAAGAATAATCAGGAATCCAGAATAATCACGAAAACTAATAAAGTCACATACAGAGTAATTCAGTAGTTCAGCTCTGTATAGTAAACTCTGAACAATCTGTTATGCAGAGGGCAGGAAGGGCAGTAATAATTAGAGTCCTTTCAAACTCCTTTTTTTGTAGCAAATACAACACTTTCAGTGGTGCGATATTTTACAGGGTGTGTGTGTGGGGAGGGGGGGATTCGGGAAGGAAGGTGCTTGCCACAAAGTCTCTGAACATCCTCTAATTCCAAAGAGTTTAAATTAGAGTACTGGGTAAATAAAATATTGGGCAAAAGTTTTAACTTAAAATTTAGAAATGGGCATGGTGTCCCTATGGCTTCTTTTTAATATATCACATAGGAATTGAAAATGGTAACCTGGCTCAAATAGATGGCACTTTTCTTGTAACAGCACCTACTTTTTGACCAGATAAGGCAATATGCAGTGATCAGCCAATTCTTCTCCTCCAGTATACTTGCTGGACTCTACAATGCACTTAATTCTTTCTAGCTGCGCAGTTCTTCCTCTGACAGACACTTGCACTGTACTTTCGTTGTACATTGTAGACAGCATGTACACATCTTTCTTATCTGTGTTGTGAAGGGCCAGCACCTCATCCTGGCGTAGAGCTAAGGTTGAGCCTTTACGGTTTCTACCACTTGTCAGAGTTGGGGTGAAACCTCTGCGTGTTTAACCACCGTTCCACATGCTAGGGGATCAAAACAAAATAACTTTTTAAATAAATCAATACTGGTAAAGTAATTATCAAACCTGTAGATGAAAACTCTTATTTAACAAGGAAAGACGCAAATTCCACACAATGTTGCCATTTGTGCCCACAGCATCAGGGCATACTGGTGGGTCAAAATAGCCATCCTTCCCTTTATAAATCCAAAATGCCCATGTGTAGCCAGTAGTTAATTCACAACTTAATGCCATATCATGATTATTTCAATGTGATATATTGTATGAAAAGTTTTAAAATTTCATGAGGAATTTGTGAAATGTTTTGGTCGGGTTTATCATTTTGTGAACATTTGTCAGACATGAGTTGGATATGGGAGCAAATTTTGTAGAGCCTGTCAAACATTGGCTATTTTCTAGGGGAACATGGTAGGTTATTGGTAAAGTAGACTAATTGCAGAATTTTCTCATAGCAATCCCTCTTCATAACCCTGGCAAAAGAGAGGTAGCCAAAAGGGGTACATGGCTTTTCTAATTTACAGACAGATACTGGCT